AGCTGGCCCTCAGTCGTGCTGCAAGCCGTGTGACCGCCATGCAAAGCGTGCCGTAACAATTGCAAAATTGAGCTGCTTTTGGAGCCTGTGCGCGTTTCGACGGTTGTCCGTTTGTTCGGCACAAGACACACCTGAAACGTCGTTTTTTCATGATGAACGAAGGCCGGCTTTGGGTAGGCCACCCCAACGCATGCTTACACACCAGGCAGACTTCTGGACGTTTGCCGATGCAACGAGATGTCGCGAATGTTGCTTGGAAAGCTCCTGCGTTGTACCAACTTACAAAAGTAAGAATATTAACAACCAAACGACCAAATGTAATGCGGAAGGTCTTGGATGCGTTTCCACACGAACAGCCTCCTGCCGGGGCCGCACGCCGGCACTGAGAGTGTCGAGGAGTTGACTCAGTTTCGCAAAACCGGCCTCGTCACGCCAATGATCACCGAAACATCGGCTCGGGTTTCGATGAACGGCCCGCTGCCGTGCACAATTCCAGCACTTACCCTGATCGGAAGTTTCAGCTGTGCTGGCACGATGGACTTGGTTGGCAAGGACCTGGGTTTCAAAAGCGGTCATTATAGTTTCACGTCACCGGCAATTCAACGAACCAGTTGAATGGCCTTTCATGCTTGACCTCACCACCTTCTGCTGTACAATTCAATCGGCAACATCTCCGTTCCATCAACTTGCCTCGGTGTGTCCCGAGGGGAGTAGGTCGAGTGCACCCCTTGATTGGAGCATGACACTGCACGTACTGATTCTCGTACGAGTATGAATACATGTGCCAGTACAGTACAGTGTGTCGGCAAAACGAGAACCACTAAGAAGGGGAAGATTGACATGCAGGCTTGCTCAAGGGGGAGGGGGTGGATAATCTTTGTAATCTTGCCCATCTTGGTCGCTGATCACTTGCACCACTTGCACCACTCGCGAGGGAGGGGGCCAATCTTGGTAATCTTGGTCATCTAGGTCGACCGAGATGACCGAGATTACCAAGATGACCAAGATTTTGCAAAGCACGAGTCACGAGTGGCTCTTGTTTGCAAAGCACAATGTACTAGTGAGCAATAGCAGCAAAGTGTTGTGTCTTCCTTGAGCTTGGATTTTGCCCGGTAATTCCAGCCCCCATGCGCCCGCGCAAGAACGTGGCAACCGGCTGATCGTGTGTTGGAAGTCAGATCAGGAGACACAGATGTAGATGTGGAAGAGCGGTGCACGCCCATCACTGCAGGAAGCCATCGACTGATGCGGCCTCAAGTGTTCCTGCTCCAATGGACGCCTCGGCGCTGGCACATCGCCGGCCATGAAATTCAGCAATACTCGTGAACTCTGCAAGCAGCTCGTGCATGCTGTTTGCATATTTTGAAGGCGAAGGCAGACTATTCGCGGATTAGGGGCGTTTGAATTCGCAAATCGTTGGTTCATGGGTCCAGTTCTGGCTTGGGGAGCCTGTGTGGTTCAGGGACAAGGAGAAACGAGTTCAAGTTCAAAGTCTTGATGACCAAGCGCAGGCATCCGGTGCAGCACATCCAGAAGTCCCGCACTGCGCTTCTCGGGTGACATCATTGAAGGCCTTGCATGCGGGCAGAGGCAGATGGCCGGCCATGGAGCAAAAACACACGAGAGTGCGTGAAAAAACACCACCCATTTGCTTGGGCTATCGTTGTTCTTTGTCTTATCGTTTTGCAGGACTTTGGATGACTTTGGGACAGTAGGATGTAGCACATCTTCGTTATCGGTTCTGTGTTCTCATCGTTTTGCAAGGAAGTCGATTGCTCTCAACTTCCGGACGCATCTACTTAAACAATGCTTTCTAGGGTTTTATCATCCCTCGACACTTCTGCCAGCGGAGACCCCATGCACTGCAAATCACGAGGCAACATACTGGAATTTGCGAGTTATCTGGCTTTCTGGACACGGGGTTTCGACTGAGCCTGTGTAAATATGGGACGCGAGCCAGCATCACAGCGGGAGCTACGCCGAAACCTCCCGTCACACGCGCGCCTCGAATGCGATCTCTCCCCGATCCCTTGCAAACATGACCGCGGTTCCCGTACGCTCAGTCCGATGGGCCGGCGGCGGATCGTCGAAGCAAGACGAAGGTGCGCAGAACCGCACCCACGGCTTGTTCAGATGTGCCCACACAAGCATAGGAATGCGGCGTGCAGCTTGAAGACATTTGGAGGGGGAGTTGTGCGAACTGCCGGGAAGCCACGCTGATACAGTGATACACCACAGCAAGGAAAAATTAGCAAAAACAGCAAATGCCAATGCGACACGTGATTCATGGCGAAATGCTCGTTGAATATTGCAGCATTTGAAACAAATTTGTGTACTCAGCTTAGCATAGTAGCCGTGGTAGCAGTCGGTACGGTAGCAGGCAAGCTGCAAACTGATTCACCAAGTCTGCTGGACCAAAGACGTCCACCAAGCCGCAAAACCCCCTTCTGTCAAGCTCCATTTTGCCTCCGAGGCGTTGCCCTAAGGAACCAATGCTTTGCATTCACTACTGCGTTCCAGCGGCAGGGAACCAAAATCGGTAGCAAGTCTGAGGAGCCGGGCTAAGTTCTCGCAGATCATATTGTATGTAGCTATATAAATATGTGTGTGTGTGTGTGTGTGCCCGCCTTGCTTGTGTGCATGTGCAGGCAGATGTATCTATGCATGTATACATATACACATATTTACATTTATACACATATACATGTCTACACAGGGGCATCGCCATCACCATCCGCACAACCATGCCACCCGCCATCAATATCGACATTCATCGAATCACTGTCGTCTGGTTAACAACATTGCTCTACATAATTAGTCCGTATACTCCTTATGAATATGGCCGCTGTCGTCGTTGTTGCTGCTATCTTCATCCTGGTCACCTGGTCATGCCATCTTAAGACTCTTGGACTCGACATAGATAAACCCACATTGCCAGTACGCTTAAACATGGCATCGCAAAAGCAACCCAGGTGTTACCCATACGGGTATTGCATCCATGTTGATCTCGCGAACCTTTAATATGCCCACTGTCTGTTAGGTGCTGCCCTGCTCCCATCGGTGCTGCCGGTTGACCAATGTTATCACGGTCTTCCTCCCGTTGCTGCTGCCCGCGAGAATGAAAAGGAAACCAGGCGCTGCCCAAAACCGGCTGGTGCTGTCATATCCTACACTATCAAAAACTTGTTTTGAGGTCATAGGTAGTGGACTGCTCTAAACTATTCTACTATTCTATACTCTACTCTACGCTACTCTGCTTTACGGCACGCTATGCTGCTCTACTTTACGCTACTCTACGGTTCTTTTCTGTAGTCTATGCTACATACTCTACCATACTCTAGGCTACTCTACTCCACCATACTGAACTATGCTAAACTGTGCTATGCTATGCCATGCCATGCTGTTCCCAGCAAGCCGAGGCAAGACACATACTATACTTACTTTACGATACTGGTACGAGGCTATATGGAGCCTTGCCATAAGTGCTACGTACGGGTGGAATGGGCTCTCCAAATACTTAGATTAGCTTTCGATCTCCACAAGGCTTTGGCTCTCCGATGCCCTCGTGGGCTTTGGGCAAGAGAGCTTCACAAGTTGAGCCATGGGAGAGATGTCGACATGACAGCTTGCCACTTTGTGGCACCAGCGAGCAGGCAAACAAATCACACTGCACGTCTGGACCTAGAGTTTGATTGTGTGTTCAGCTTGGGGGAGAATTTAGGATCATCCAGCCTCAAGCATAGCATGAATGATGCAGATCTAGCTTCTACTATTCTACTACCTAAGCCTTCTAACCAGGACCGCCGGGCCAGCCCGTCGCACAGGTCCTTGCGGGGCTTGAGAAAGGAATTCTCCCCCTCAGATCGGCGGAGTACACTTCAGGCGCGTCGAGGTCTGAAGGGTCCTGGCGAAAGCAGACGCAGCCTCTCATTTCTTCCTGGTCTGCGTTTGTAATTAGGTTGGTTTGTTGAAGAAAAAATGGGCGCGAGAAGTTCGCTTCCTCCTGGAGTTCTAGCGTGCGCAGGCGCTCTTCCCAGAGCACGACAACCTTCTGCCTGCAAGAGCAACGAAAACAATCATAAGAAAAGCCATGCACGTGCGCATACATGCTCGAAGCTCGTTCACCATTCTGCTTGTGCTCGCCACGTCATGATTTACGAAGTGGGTTAAGCTTTCAGTCCTTGTCGTTGTTGCTGTGCCACCTTGCTTTTCATCAAGCCCGACTTTCTGCTTAGGAAGTGGTAAGTATGCTGTATCTTTTTCTGTCAATCACCATCTTCTGCCCTTTTCCATGGCATGGCCACGGTTGCTGCCGTCTTCCGTCGGCCAGTGCTGACGGATGTTGCTTATGCTGCTGTTGTCACTGCGCTTACGGCTGTTCAGTTGTTGGTGCGGTCCACATGTATGGTTTTCCGCTGTTGCTTTAGCAGAGGAGGAGCAGCTGCAGCAGCGGCACTAGCGGCAGCGACAGCGGCAGCAGCAGCAGATGCAGTAGTAGCAGCATTGGTCGTGGCCGTAGTTGCATCCTCGTCGTGGCGGTGTGGCAGTAGCAGTTGTGGCGGTAGTCGTAGTAATAACAGTAATATTAGTAGCAGTAGCAGTAGCAGTAGCAGTAGTAGCAGTAGTAGCAGTAGTAGCAGTAGTAGCAGTAGTAGCAGAAGTAGCAGAAGTAGCAGTAGTAGCGGTAGTCGCAGTAGTAGTAGTAGTAGTAGTAGTAGTAGTAGTAGTAGTAGTAGTAGTAGTAGTAGTAGTAGTAGTAGTAGCAGTAGCAGTAGCAGTAGCAGTAGCAGTAGCAGTAGCAGTAGCCGTGGCAGCAGTAGTCAGGGTGGTAGTTGCATGAAGCCCATGTACCACTGCTAAGACACATCGTCATCGCCATCACCGCCAGCCACCAGCAAAAATTCATTCCATAATCCTCCTCATCGTCACCTGCACAGTCATCAATCCATGCTACACCCCACCGCCCCCGTCCCCCTGGTCCATGTCCTCCGAGGCATCTCCTAGACCTTCTCGAACCTTTCCTTAACCATGGCAGCCAGGGAGTCGGAGGTCTTCTTCGCATCTCCCAGGAGCATCTCGGTGTTCTCCTGGCAAAACTAAGGCTCGAAGGTCTTGTCCCGAGTGTGTTGAGGGCCAAGCCTGGAAGTCCAGAAATGCTTAATTCTAAGTAGGGTTCCTCATCCCGGTAGCCGTGAGGTGGAATCCGGTGCGTTCAGCGAGAAGACTATACTAATGATGTGGCATGCTTCTCCACTGGGTCATCATCAACATGTGTTGGGCGTAGGTCGGGCCATGCGAAACAGAATTTGCGCGGAAGGCTCGTCCCAGCCCGCTGTACCAGGACAACCCCTCCCGAGCCCACCTTGTAGAAGACGGGGTTGTCAAGATCCGCATAGCCTTCACGGGATGAACGAGCACGCGGCATGTTGCTGCTGGACACAAACAACATCCACAGACTACCTGGGATGTAGGATCATTAAGGTAGTCGCCTTTGGACTTGGGACTATACTACTCATCCTAGACATAAATTGCACAAAAAACAGTTATGGTTGCACCAGTTGCACTGCTATGACTGGTCTTTTCTTTTGCTCGGCATGCCACTCATATTCCTGGGGCTCAGGGAGACCGCCGCTTTGCCAGCCTCCGCCCATTGACCGCTTGCAGAAGATCACCTTCTTTGATCGCCAAACTTCGATCACCGGCATTCCCCAAATGGCGCAGCCTTCAATCTCCTGCAAGGGGCGTAGCTTCTGGGCCGAGCCGGGCAAAAACCCAAACTGAATCAGCTGGAACTGACACAAGCACGGCCTACCACATTGCACATCCTGCAGCTTCCAGATTTCGGATTTATCTGCGGCAGGCTCGTCGTAACCCCGTAACCCTCCATCCCGCCTGCGCTGCCGAGTTCACGACATCGTTGGCGCCAACTACCAGCACCACATCGTTGTTCTCCATGTCGGGATTCCTAGCTCAAACGTCTAAACCCCACAGCCTGAAGAGAGCGATGGAAGCAAACAACCAGGAAGCTGATATTGGACAAAAAGTAACAACGATAGCTGCTTCAAATTCGTGCCCGACCCGCAACTCCGGTTCGAGCCTCAGCCGAAACAGACGCTACCTATCTCGTCCTCAACAGCCAGAGCTCTCGGAAGTGGACCCCTGAATCTGAATGAATCCAACAGCACGGATGCCAACACTGCTCTACGGATCTGCTTCATTCATTCGCTACCGCAGCCGTGCAATCTGTGTTCGAGCGTCGCATTGATGACTTAGTATCATGCACATAAGCCGTGCCCAATGCTCAAGCTCAACGAGGGATGTCCCTTAAGCCGCTGTTTTGACGGTTTTGGGCTTCTGAGCTGTGGGTTAACGGTTCCGGGATAAGAAAATTGAACTCAAGTATTCTGAGCGTCTCGACAGATAATTCTCAGCCTGGATAAAAATCACAAGTGAGCAATGCACGAGGGCGACGCGCAGTTCCCGTCATTACGTCTCAGTCAGCAGCCTACCGAAAGCCACAAAGGGGTGCAATTCAATTCCAATGGCTCAGTGCGTACTAAAACCCTTAGCTTTCAGCGTGACCCCGAAGGCCACTAGCTGCAAACCTACAGTCCGAAAGTCTTATCCACATTAGTACTCACTAGAGAAAACTATAAGTTTTGGCACAGTATAGCAAAACACAGCACAAAGCATCGTAGAGTAAAATCGAGTACCTTATCCACAAGAATCAGGTCCAAAGGTCACTTCGTCCATCTCCAGCACCCACTCGTGGGGCACGCCCGCCTGTCGGCATTGAGCAGTTCTCTTTTCGCTGCAGATGGGGTTGAGGCTCTATCGGGTCTTTAGATGGTTTATTGTTTAGGAACACTGTTGTTGTAGGGGCCTTAATAATTAGAATAGGGTGTTTAGGGTTCCTTGTTATAGTTGAAGTATAATATCCCCGAAAACCCTATTCTGCTTCTTAAGGCCCCTACAGTATAGACTGTTTACATAGACGGATGGAGCGCGATACGACACTGCTGCAGAAGCTGAGAAGTCTTTGGGGTTTTGGCCTGACATGGTTTGCCCTTCAAGCTACCTTTCAATATACTAGAGCAGCCCATCACATCAAGTATCCCTGAAAAACCAAAAACATTGAGTCAGAACCAACCCACAGTCCTCTTGAACGGCCCCAAACCCCAGAACCGCTTCAAACTTCCAATCGAAGCCCTAGTGCAAGCACTACTCAACTACAAACTTGCAAGCTCCTGTAGACTTGCAAACCCTGCAGAACCGCCACCCCAAAGGACCGTCCTCTGCCAAGAGCACGTTCATCTGCCCGGGCATGCGTCCAGCCACAGGGTGAACACCTGTGGCTCAAAGGCGTTCTCATGCTTTGGCTTCAATCTGAAAGTGCTTGGGCTATTCTCCGTTTAACACCATAATATTCTCCAAAACCCTATACACAGTCTAGAGGTATGACTAACAATCAAGGCTTCTGGAGCTTGAGATTTATACCTTCGGCTTGGACAGATTCTGCTCTTTCCGAGGAATAATGCTGGAGCAACGCTGCTGACTGGAAAGACCATGATCCCCACTCGCGGCGTCTGCAACCCACAACCGCCCAACCTCTGTACCGGAATACACCCTCTTTGGTATAATTGGTTGCTGCTGACTGCTCACGGCTCACGGTCGTTGATTCTGATCTGTTCTTATATATACACATATACACATGCATCTATCTACCTATCTGCCGACCTACCTAGCTACTTATCTACCTATGCCCAGAAACATAAGTGTGTATGTGTTTTCTGCAGACTCTGCTTCATCAGCAATGCTCACTTGCTCGACTTGCTCAAACTCTTGGCGCCAGGTGGCCGAACTTCATGTTCACGTTGTTTGCTCGAAGGGCGTTTGCGAGCTCTCCCATGGCGGTCCTCAGCTCAATAACAGACCTCTGTCCGGCCAAGGTAGCTGCTTGGCACTTTACCGTTTGTGGATTACGGCCTGTAAAAGTCTCATTCTTTGTAAAAACCCGGGGTGCTGCAGGGTGTATGATGTCGAACCAGGCTGCTAAAGCCCAGACCTTAGAACCATCAGACCCCAAATCTTCAACACTCGACCGTCACCCCTGAAATCAAGACCCCACAGCCCCGGAACGCCCAACCCCAAAGACCGCCACCCAATCGTAACCCCTCCACACACAAACCTTACTTCTTCTAGCCTCGAACCCTACAACCGAAAACAGCCCGAGAACCCTGGGAGCCCTGAAACAAAGCAGCTCAGCGTCTGGGCTCGGGCCATGGCCATGCCATATCCCGGCACCACGAGCACCTCAAATTGGGGGGGCTCAAGGGCGTTTTGGGGCTTTAGGGCTTTAGGGTTGAGGCTTCGGAGTTCAGGGTCTCAGGTTTAGGGCTTGGGGGCTTGCAGTCTTTCGGATTTAAGTTTTCGAGGTTCGGGGTTTGGACTTTAAGGCTTTTGGGGATTAGGACTTGAGGACTCACAGTTTAAGGCACAGGTGTTGGCGGGCTTGGGGCTGTTGGGTTTTTTGTAGTTGAAGGTGTCGCAGAGTAGGTGTTTGATGTCTGCTGAGATTTGGCGATGAGGGGAAGGAAACTCTGAAAGCGCGCTTGAATCCGATGGCTCTGCGAGATTTGCGACTACGTTCTGTGGGTTCGGGGATAAGTTGGGATCGGGGGCTTAAGGATTCAAGGATTGACGTTGGGCGCTTGGGTTTTAAGGATTCGGAAATTCAATCTTGTTTGGGGTAGCGCCGTGTTAGGGTGACGGTTTTCCCCAAATCGTATCCTACATATTAAAAACCAAACCACAAGCCAAAACACCAGAGCTCCTACTTCAAACGAAGTATAAATTCTGCTCTGCGACGCTGATAATAACAAACCCTAAAAAGCCTATAGCCCCTTAAAGCCGTTGACAGTTTCAAGTCCTAAGCCCCTGAACGGGAGCCGCACACCGCACACCCCAAACCTGGTTTCACAGCTGCCTCCTTGGCTCCCACGAGCATCTCTGCCACGGCGGCTACACTCCTTAGCTGCTTCTCGAGCCCAATCACAAGGCACCAGAAACCCGCTGCTACAAGACCAGGAAACTCTTGCTGACCCTGGCTCTGCTCCGAAAGCCCGCATATGTCGGGCTTACGGGTTATGGGAGTTGCTGTAGGGTAGAAACTGCAAACTTAGCAGCTTCTTTTCTCCTTGCTTACCATGCCTGAAGTGCCAGTACTTCTCAACCAAGTCCGACTGCGACCACTTGGCAGAAGCGATAACATCTACAATACCGGCCGGGCAAGAATTCCAAAACATAACTCGACTAGACCATGGCTCGTTTCCACATGCTCCTTGGGACCAGTGTCACCAGCACCTAAGCTGTGGTGCTCTCCCGGGCCGGCCCTTCGCTACCTCGCCCTGTCTGTGGTCTGTATCTGTATCCAGCCTCCGGACGGAACGCCCTGCGACCCTAACCCGTAAACTGGCGTAAACCCTGAACCTTCAACCGTCAACCCTCAAGCCCTCAAGCCTGAAGCCCATAACCAGAGGTATGGGATGAAGCCTGAGGAAGGATTCTCGTGTTGCCGGTTTGGGGTTCAGGCTTCGGACAGTGTAGGTGTACGTGCTTGCATTGCTTCGAGTGATATTTGACGGGCTGGAGGGAATGGTTAGGAGCATAGAAGACCTTAAACCCTGCTGTTGCACCCTCAACCCGAAACCCTAAGCCCAAATTCTCAGCCCCACACGCTAGAGCCTCTGTATTTTTGCGGAACCTTAGGGCGCGGACCGCTGGCAGCTGGTGAACTGTTGTAGCCACCGAAGAGCACGTTCCTAAGATTTGCACACGAGAACTTCGAGTAGCAAGAAGAATCATCATCCTTCTTGCGTACTTATAGCAGCTACATCTGATAGTGCTACGAAAAAGTGAGTGCTATTCTGAGAAGTACTGCTGGATTCATTCATATCTTCGGGCCTCATGCCTACGGACTGGCCGGCTCCCCGTGAAGGAAAATGCGTCTCCATCGCAGTTTCTGATCTCCTTCACACTGAATGCGCGGAGGCAAACTGCGATGTAATGCCGACTTGCAGACCGAACTGCACGACATGAGCTGCTCACTTGAGCGAGAGCGGGATAGAGGCACGGAGGGAGACAGGGAGAGGGAGGGAGAGAGAGAGAGAGAGAGGGGTCATGCTGAAGCCTGAAGCACGAACCCAAGCCAGCTCAAACTTGACCACCAGATTCCACAACTCCGCCCTGCTCAATACACAAGCAGCCAATAAATCATCGTCTGGGCTCATGATGTCTCGGTTCATGGCATCGCACCTCCATTCGTGCGAGCTCGGGCAGTTGCAATCGGATATAGGCAGGAGCTTGGTACAGTTTTAACCCTACTTAGGGTTGAGGGTGCACGGTCTCAAATTCAGCAGTGCATGGACGTTGACTGTGAGGGAGAATCTGTACCCGACAAACTTAGCCAGGAGTGCAACGACTTACTTTCGGCCGGGAGGGGAGCCGGTTGAGAATCGCCTTGGGCTGCAGGTGTGGTCTGATTGCTCGTGTCTTGCTAGGGCCTGCTAGCGGAGTTATACCACCACCTTCACAAGCTCAAACGTCCTGCAAAAACCGTTCGCGCTTAATGCCACGATGTGCGCTATACAGGCTCACAGCATGAAAGCAAGCGCCACACGTCGGGCCAACAGCCTCGGGGTGCAACCCCGTGAAGGCATAGCCGCAGCAACAACAGTAATACAACACGGGAATACTCCGGTTGCACCGCATGATCTAGGGTGGTCGCGGCCGTCGTCACCATCGTAATCGTCGTCGTCCCCGTAGTCGTAGTAGTAGTGGCAGTGGCAGTGGTATCAGCAGCAGGAGTAGTAGTAGCAGCACTACTAGTCATAATGACAATAGTAATAATAGAAAAATAGCATTAGTATCAGTAGTAGCAGTAGTAGCAGTAGTAGCAGCTGTCGTCGTATATAATCGTCGTAGTGGTAGCAGTTCCCTGGGCACATGATCTTCGTGAGGATGGCTCCGCTGAAGCCGATGAGGGACCCCACGATCCTGAGCTCTCAGAGGGCGACAGAAGGATCCTGGGATCTTCCGGCTATTCTTTCGACAAGCAATATTAATAATCTTCTGGTCATTATTTCGTGAGATAACAGAACTTGCTACTACAAGCGGTTCTCACTCGTTTGGGAAGGCGGGCTCGAGTCGAAAGGCGCAAGAATATTATGATAGTAGTGGTGAATGGTGAAGACTGGCCATGACAGGCATAAGTCGTAGTGCCATGACCGCGATGATGAACATGATCATGACCATGCTCAGCATGACGGTCGTCTCCTATCTTCGGGATCTCTCAGGATCTACAAAGCACCGGCAAAGTAATCAAAGCACCTGACGCCCCCCAAAGCCCACACCGATCATCCCAGGCACGTCAGCACCGGGCTCTTCAGCAAGAAGCCCTGCGAGACACTGCGACTTGGCACAACAGAGGAGAAAAGGGCTTGGGATGAGAAGAACCCTTCCAGCGAAACTAATCGGGCTCAGGGTTCAGGGCCGTTCCGATTCTGATTTTCGGCCTTGCGGTCTGGCTACGTTGTTCTGTGCTTGGTGCCTTGCATTGTTCCCTCCTCCGTTCAGAAGCCTCTGCTTCAGTGGCTGGTGGAGTAGCAAGCCCAAATCCTGCTTGAGGTTTCTGAGGTCCTGATGCCTCTCATCATCTTGGCGAGCGATAAGGAGACTGTCAGCATGCCTACGGAGATGCTATGCCGATGTCGGTCCGCCGTACGGTCTACCCACATCAGGAGCCCACGAAAGAGCCTAAAATTCCAGGGTCCAGCCGATGCGTCGATTCTGTTGAGGGTTGGCGGGCTCTTTAGGGTTTAGGGTGTTGGGTTTTGGTTTCGGGGTTTAGGGTTTAGGGTCCGACAGTCTCCGGGGTTCCTCCGCCACCAGGGCCCAGCCGGAGTAGGAGTTCAGCACCGTGATGCACACGGGCATGTCACCTAGCACCAGAGGTGGTGGGAGGTTGGGGAGCCATGGTCGATTCTGGGGTTGAGGGTTTAGGATTTCGAGAAGTATCGCACTGACGCTGGTTGAAACCGTCAAGACGTCCTTCGAGCTCGGCAGCTCGGCAGCGGGTGGGTGCAGCACTGCAAATGGCACTGGCCAGTGGGGCGTTTTGACTTCAATATAGGTTTACAGGAGTCGCAAGCACTTACAACCGTCGCTAGGGATCAAAGCAAGTAGTAGCCTGTCAGAAACGGCGAGCCGCAGACAACCAGGAATGCTTTCGTAATTGCCAGCATCCCCATAATATAGGGACCTTAATAATTGGAATTGGGTTTTGGGGGTGTATATTATACTTCTATACTTATAATAAGGAACCTCAAAAGTAGCAGAGGTAAAATTTAGGCCCCTATAGTATACCCCGGTTGTATGGCTCCTGCCTCCTCCAACGCTGCCCACCAGGTGCACGCCCATGACGCAAGCCAAAGCGGCTACGACCCAAAGCAGGAAGATGCCATAGTGGCCTCGGGTGCATGGCCGGAGCACCGTAATAGCTAGAATGCTTCTGGGTTTGGGGGGTTAACGATTTCCAACTGACCCTGTGAATCTTGAGCCGGAATCTAGTTAGAGCACTTGAGTGACAAAGGTGCTGTGGCCCCACCCCAGCTGCCTCCGACGGTTCCCTACGCCCTCCCTAAGCTCGATCCCGTCCGGAGCACGAGGTTCGCAAATGCCCAAGAATACTTCTGAACTCTCGCTGCGCTCTCTCTTCCCTTACGCTCACTGCGTACATTGAATTCCCGCAACAGTAAGAACTCGCTCTATGCAAAACGAAGTTCCTGGTGTTCCTTCACTAGAGTTTCCTCTGGTCAAGTCCCTTGCCAGGTTCAGGCAGCCTCACACGAGGTTCACAAGCTGCTTGGCACGCGCAGGACGTGTTGTGGTCGTAGAGTGATGGTCTGGTGTGTTAAGAGCACGTGCAAAGCTGCCAGAGCATCTTGCGAAACTGCACAGGCAAGTATCACCATGGTCACTATATGATCCCAATTCTCGGTTCGCCGACCCCCCCCCCCCCAATGGTATCCCCCCCCCCCCCACCCCCCCCCACCCGCTCCCCAAGCCGAATCTGTGTGACTGCGCACACTTTTTTGCACATGCGGGCCCCAAAACCGTACAAGGATCGCGCCCCAAAGACGCCGAATCCGTGTGAGGCTGCCAAAGTCGCCAACTGTCACGAGGACTGCGTTCCCTGACAGGCCCGTTCCCTGTGACAGTTGGCCGATTGCAACCTTTTGGCAATTGCCCCCAAAGCGACAACTGCCACGAAGATAATGGCCTGCGATCAACAAAGCGATTATCAGGACCAGGCACGTGGGCAGAAGACACCCGACGACAAACCAATCAAACATTAAGATGCTTGAGTTAATGATGATGGTGATCATCGTCCCCATCATCATTATTATCATCATAGCGATGAGTATACCAAACACCCAAAGCAAACCTACAAACCTAAAAACGCAGGGGCACACCATTCCACAGGGGGGAAGGGGGGAACCACCCCAACCAGACCCACCCCCGCCCACGCCACACCACACCACAGGGAGGGGGAAGCAACCCACCACCACACCACACCACACCACAGGGGGGGGGGGGGGGTGGGGAGGAACCATTGGGGGGGGGGAGGGGGGGGGACGGCCGAACCGGGATCATATACATACATATATATATATATATATATACACATAGAATGCACATATACCTACATATATATATATATATGCGCACGAGCACCCAGCACAGGCTGATTCAATCGTCGTGGGTCCCCCAAAGCGGGAAATCGTCTGAGACTCCTGCCAGAGCTGCCCAGGAAGTCGTAGATCAGGTACAGGAAGAAGAAGAGCCCACCAAGGTTCAGGTAGTTCTTCCCTGGCATTCAAGCTCCATGCGATGAATTGCTTCGTTAGTTCAGAGGAGGGCTGGGCATTTGGGGGTTTAGGTGCAGAAGTTCGCTTGGGGCCAGGTCTACAAGGAGCTCACAGCATTGGATCTCACCCTGACCACCACAACCGAAGCCCTCAATGCCAAACTGTTGAATGCTGATACCAAGAACAAGGAAGAAGAATCGCTGCACTGATCGTATGCCGATAAGCATGGCAATTATTATTGTTATGGTGGCAACAGCAAGAAGGACAACAACACTTGTAATAAGGAACCCCAAACTTGTAATAAGGAACCCCCAAAATAGTATAGGTAATAATTAATGTATGAAGGCCCCTATATTAACAACAATAACACTGAGCCCTTCATCACGGGCCTGGCAAGTCCAGAGGCTTGGACGCAAGGTTTCCGTTCAGCTTGCCGAAAGCTATGAGACCTGGGCTGGAGAGGGCGAAGAACGGTTGAAGACACCTCTTCGTGTCGCTCGCGGCTCCTCAGAAATGCTACACCAAGGATTGCTAATTGTTAGAATCGAAAGCTATGCGAGTGATGTGGCTGCTGCTGCCTATTGCAACCTTCTGAACTTCTTCTCAAAACTCGAATCGAAACTGTTGCTAGTGAAACGAAATTGGTTCTTCTTCACGTAACTTCCTACTGCCTGGTGTGCTTCCTGCAAATAGGACCGCAGAACTCCATGTTAGTGCGCGGCTTGCCATCCCCTCCGCAGCCGCTGTCGTCATCGAAGCCACCGCAATACAAACTACGTAAAGCCCGAAGCCTCCAAACATCGGTCGGGTGGATACTACAGGGGCCTTAATAATTAGAATGGGCTTTGGGGGCCCATTATAAACCCTCAAAACAGTCTTGGTAATTAGAAAAACCCATATATTAATGGTGTCATCGGGCTCAAAAGCTGGAAGGAAACGACCTGCTGAAACGACATGCTTCTTCTTCTGCATACGAGGGGCTGCCCGTGAGCGTCACGCCGCCGATGAAGTCGCCAAGGACCGCGGCCACGTTTTCCATGGAGGCACCGGCCTGCAAGGTTAGCTTTTTGGATTGAGAATGAGATTCAAAGAAGAGGGAGAGCAGGTGGTCGTGCGTGCACGCGTGTCCGTCTCTGTCTATGCATACCATGTCGGCCCGGTTGCAAGACTCGCTCCAGATGTACGCAAGTTTTCCCTGGCGATGGGTGCTGCCCAGAGCACCTCGGGGTTCTCCACGAAGGAGCCGATCGATGTGCCTGGGCGAAGGTGTCTCATCACAGAATCGTAGAGTGAAAGACCGACAAAAACCCTAAGCCCTAATCCGGCGCCCTAGGCCCCAAATGCCAAACCTTCACGTAGGGGCCTTACTACTTAGAAAAGGCTTTGGCGGTGCATCCTACTAGAAGTATAATAAGGAACCCCGAAAACCCTATTCTAACTACTAAGGCCCCTGAAGGAACCCCCAAAACCCTATTCTAATTATTATTATTATTATTATTATTGTTATTGTTATTATTATTATTATGATTATTATTATTAGTATTATTATTATCTTTATTATTATTAGTATTATTAATATTTTTTATTATTATTATTAATATTGTTATTATTATTATTATTACTATTATTATTATTAATATTCCTATTATTATTATTATTATTATTATTATTATTATTATTATTATTAGTATTCCTATTATTATAATTATTATTATTATTATTATTATTATTATTATTATTATTATGATTACTATTATCATTATTATTATTATTATTGTTATTATTAGTGTTATTAATATTGTTATTCCTATTAATATTATAATTTTTTATTATCATTATTATTATTAGTATTATTATTATTAGTATTATCGTTATTCTTATTCTTACTATTCTTATTATCATTATTCTTATTATTATTATTAGTCTTGATATTATTATTAATTAATTAAGGCCCCTAAGCTCAAACCCATGCAACCGCAAAAGCCCAGGGCACACATGGCTGCAAGACCCACCAAGGAGTGGAAGGCCGCCACGGTCTGGGGCAAAGCGATGGGACCTGGGAGTCTCATGTACATATATGTATATATATATATATGTACATATATATATATATATACATATATACGTGTATGTGTGAAGATAGTATATAGTTTCTCACATACAGTATAGTATATGGTATACAGTATATAGTGTATGTGTATAATATGTATAATATGGAGTCTATTAGTGTCTATAAGATTGCTACTGGGCTTCAGACTCGTGTTTCGACACGGTTTCCGCGGAGGGCCGGAAGGTATCATCTAGCTGCAAGTCGGGGTGTCGTCTAGCATATTGCTTGGTGCTTAGGCTCAGGGCTCAAGGTTGAAGATTCCCTGTAGCTTAGCATCGACAGCTTCGTAGCCTGAAGCGATCGGAGGGCCCTGGGATGGCATTCGAGCAGGAACTGCCTTCATAAGCATGGAACATGGCACGTCTAGGTTTAAACTAAAGCTTGGTTCAGGGTTTAGGGTTTGGGGAACAGGGCTCAGGACTCAGGGCCTCAGGGTTACAAGTCAGGAAGCATGTGCCCAAGCAATGGCCCAGGCACTGACCCGCACACCCAGGACCAGGCCCGCAGAGCCTCCAATCCTTGCGGAAAGCGGTTCGGGGCTTGGGGTTTCGTCGGGTCTGTATCTTTCATGAAGCAATAATTGAGTAACCGTGCTTTGAATGGCCCTTTGGGTGCTTGCTCCGGTGTTACGGGGGTTCTAGGTTCTGGACACCGGCAATGGAAGAACCACTTCTTTGCATACTTGTTGCTGGGACGTTGCATCTTGAAGGTATGCAGGTTTTGTTCGGAGAGCTTCTGCAAGCAGTTTGCGCTCGTCTCAGGCTGCTGTTGACTTTACTAGCTTATGGTTGGGATAGCATTAACATGATACTAATTTATTCCTCTTTGTGTTTCAGTACCCATAAACATGTAAAATGTTACCCAACGATGAGAAAGTTTAAGCTCAGGCTTAGGGGCTTTGGATTCGCGGGTTCGGGTGTTGGATCGCCTCTCGGGTTGCAGATACTGTGAGGGCAGTAGTAATTAGCGTACGGTTTTTTTTTGGGGGGGTTCTTCTTATAGTTGAAGTATAGCTATAATATACCCCAAACCCTAGTCTAATCATTAAGTCCCCTACGTTAGACATCTACAAATGAAGACCCAAGTGGCGCAAGCAGGACGCTGGCGATAAAAAAGCCTAGGCCACCGGCATGCGGGACAGTTTTGAGTGCAGGGTTTCAGCGTTCGGTTAGACTTTCCCGGTGTTTGGTTCTGTATCGGGTTGCCGACACTGTCTGCTGCCTACCTTGACAAGCCTCGAGATAGAAACTCGCGAACGCTTTGAACCGAAACCCTCAGATGAAACTCGCGACCACAAGGATGGTGGTTTCTGCGGCCCTACCCTATCATGGGCTATAAAATGGGTATATAATAGCTATATTAAGGGTATATACCGAGGGAAGGGCTTCGAGCTTCAAGCTTCAGGAGCTCGCAGGCCGCCTCAGGGAGTCCCAGCGGGCCACGAAGGTCTTCGGATTCCGAAGACTTCAGCTTCAAGACAGAGCTATATGGGTGGTTGTCAAAATTGGGGTCCCTCTTTGGGTCCTTATTATAATACGGCACCTTATATTTAGGGTACCCAAAAAGGGACCACAATCTTGACAACCCCAGATGACATACGAGCTAACAAACAGTAACCCGGTTGACCTACCACAGTAGAATCAAAGGGGGGTGTGGGGCGAGGCCAAGCAAAGGCTTCAACTAAAGCAACTGGAGCGGGTGTTTGGGGGGGGGGCATGGGCGAATGACGATGCGGGAATCAGCGAAAGCCCTGAAACCTATCAATCCTGAACGAGACGCGGAACCCGAGACTCCGTGTCTCGGGAGGGGCTACGGGTTCTTTGTTTCGTAATCCTGAACCTTAAGCCCCTCACCCGAAAAGACTACGACAGACAAACAGACCCCTCGCCCCTCAGTGCTAAACCCGAAACGCTCGGAGCGCTTGCAATCCGAAGCCGTCACACCGAAGCCGAATATGGGAGCCTGAATTGTCACCAACACTTGCCTAACAACATACCTCAAACAATAAATCCAAAGCCCTTTTCTAATCATTCAGGCTCCTACATCATCGAAGCTGTATACTAGCCTATTTAGAACCCTTCAAAAGAACCCGCTTCTAATCAGAGGCCAGAAACTTCCGGAGCTGAGGCTAACCTCGCGCTGGCGTCCGGGGGCTTCGGATGGGACATGGCTTTAGGCCCTGGGGCCGTCTAGGGTTTAGGATGCTTCGGCTTTGGTATTAGACGCTTGGTAGTTCAGTTGCCTCGGCTTTTGACCCTGGGGCTGTCTGGGATTCAGGATGCTTCGGGTCTTGTCTTGGGGCTTAGTATTTATGAGTTGCTTCGGCTTTAGGGCTTTTAGCCCTCGAGGCCTCAAGATTTTGGGGGTTCAGGGTGTAGGAAGCTTAGGGTGTGATGAGGTAGGGTTCGGCCCTCCTTCGGGATGCAGAGTAGCAGAAGATAGCAACATGCAGCTCATCGCAGAGAGTATCGAAACGATGCTGCAAGCATCGCCTGCGCCACGAGTGCAGGACTTGGGCCGTAGCCCAAACACGCAAGTCACAATCCTGATCTGGCCTCAACCCGAGACCCTAAACTCCCCAACACTCTAAATGCATATGTAGTACTAAGGAACCCCGAGGAAAAAATTAAATGATTTAGGCTTCTTTCTTGTAAAGTGTGCAGACGCCCAGACGCCATGGCAGCCGACATGGCCCCGAAGACACCCACCATCCTTGCAGGGAGTGTTGAAGGCTGGAGCAAACCCATAGTATAGGGTTTCTTTAAAGGGTTTCTTTAAAAGGGTTCTGTAAGGGATCTATAGTAGGGTTCTATGATATAGGGGCCTTCATGATTAGAATAGGGTTCCTTTCTAAAGGGACGTTACTACAAGAGCTATTAAGGATTTAGTAGAGAAGCGTTATTGGGGGATTTCATCTACCGTTATCATGAGGGCAGTATCGGTAATTTACGCTCCCTTAGTACCGTCTTGCATGCATGTGCACCCTTCTCGAAAGTTACGTGCACTTGTCCTCCTGTTTCAGTGGATAACATGTTTTCCGTTGTCTCGGCAAGCATTTCAGTTCCGCCCGAAGGCTCAAAACACACATCCGACAGGTGGGGCGGTGTACTCACCCCGGAGGCATTTTTATCTCTATCTGGCCGCTCCAAGCGCAAGGCAATGGTCCGACGAGTGATGAACACACGCGGCTTGCTGCACTTGGATGCTTGGGTGACCTCTCCGATTACGGATGCGCAGCTTTTGCAACCTCGAGGGGATGGTTCGAGCTATGCCGCTCGCGTGCGGACTCTGTACCGGCAAGAATTAAGAGTGCAGGACATGGTGGCTGCGAACTCCGAACTCGACACTGCAGCATGTAAGCGATGGTATCGTCGGGGGAGAGAGCAAGCAGTGTTCCCGTGGCTCTCTGTCTTTGCTCGCACAGTTGCTATGATTCCCTCTCGTGCCCGTACCAACGGATTTGAAGCAACTGAGGGGCCGAGATTGCACGGTGACTGCCAATCAACGGAAAGAACGAAACACCGTGGTGCAGGGACATGAGATGTAGGCGTGTGATGCTGGTCTTCTGCTTGGCTGAGTATCGACTCGTCTGTTGCTCAACCATACTGGTTCGCTGTATTCTACTACTCTACGCATCTGGCTGGGTCTCGGTGACTGGTGATCTTGTATACAGCTAATGGAGACTGCATATCATGGACATGTCGACATTTCTGTAGCGTTCGCTGTCTCGCAACTAAAAAGGGATCTGACCGTTTCACGTTTCTGTCACCGACAGCTGACAGAAGATTCATGTTCAAAAACCTTTCAAAGCTAACAAACAGTCTGCAGATCGCTTCGTTTCCCGGGATCGTCCCGGAAGAAGCCCCGCGCTCGAAACCCCCAGACCCTGTTACTGACTACACTCCTAAACCCTGAACCCGCCCTAAACTAGCGAACACATCGTCTCGAAACTCCCAACACCAAACTCCCCAACCCCCGAACCTACAACCCATATTGTCGGGACCAAAGGGCCCGAACTTGCAGCCCGTATTGGCGGAGGACATGGTCGCCAGGCCCCCGATGGCAGCAATGCAGAGCCTAGTTCATCGCGGGCCCTAATGCAGAGGGGCTTGATAATGGAGCAGGATTACCACGCGCTGGGGGTATTTGTTGTAGTACATTCACATAGTGACTGTAAGGGGTCAATGTTACTGAGTATCCCGACAACTGCATTACGGGGTCCTGCTTTAGGATTCCGGGCGTTGCATGGGGTTTAGGCCGTCAGGGGTCAGGGTTTTGAGGTTCGGCTTAGGGGATTTGTGAGTACATCTTTTCCTGCAACTCTTCCTTATCCGTAACGTCGCATCCGTTGCATTGTTCTATCTGTCATTATCCTTGCTGCCTGTCAGGCTGATATTATGGCGTGGGAAGTAGGGGCTCTGTGATTTTTCAGAAGCATTACGGTGGCCAACGCACTTCACATCCGGATCTTCCTGTTCGTTTCGATATTGAGTCGGAGCTTCTGCGACTGCTATTATGTACCACTGCTACCACTCCTCCTCATCCTCCTCCTGGCACTGCTCGAAAGAGTATGATCACTATGTCTTTTTGACAGTCGAGCACTGTCTGCGCACAAACTAGGCCTAGGGCCCAAACCCCCTGAGACCGAAAGCCCATATAGCCTGTGGTGGCGGCTTGCTGCCTGGCTGCAGTGCAGACACCGTGCTGACTGCCTTCAGGAGCTCCGGGCTGGTCAAGCTGACGAAGAGGAAGACCAAACCGGGCAGCAGCATGAAGGGAGAGTAGTCCTTCCACTTCTTTTCCGGTTGGGGGATGGGACATCTGTCCGGGATCGGATCTAAGGCATGGCGGTAACAAGGGAGCTTCAAGTTTCCGTCCCAGTAGGAGTTTGGCAGTTTTCACTCAAGAGCCTGTTCAAGCTGTGTCTGCCGCCGTCTTGGAAACAACCTGTTGATGCAATCTTATCCCCGAATCCGAAAGTTCAGAGAAGACCAAAGGAAAGCACATACAGTACTGCAGATATCATAACAGCATGTATGCACGTGCTGCACAAGGTTGCTTTGTCGATAAACAAATACACGAACAGCTAAATGCATGATGAAGGGGTTCATCCGTTCAGTGAATACTGTGTCACAGGTTCTGTAGTACACGAATATACGCGCTGCATCGTACGCTTGCCTGTGTGCATGTTTTTTGCCAAGGTTTCCAAAACCCTAAATGGCCATTGTGGTAACACTTACAGCTTTCGGGGTGCGGGGCTTCAGGGTTGTGGCTCCAGGTTCAGGGGTCTGGCCCAGCAATTAAGGAAGGAAACAGAAAGGGAAAGCAAGCTGCTAAAGCTTGGATGTTGGAAGAGGCGCAAGAGTGTGGTTGGCGGAATTCAGTGGCGGAAGGCCGAAACCCTCCACGACCCACAAACTCTTCAATCTTTACCTTCCGCGGTTGTAGGGTTTGTGCGGTTACCCTCCTCCACACCGCAAGACTCTGAGCAGGGCCTTGTCTCCGGGCTTCTTGAAGAGGTCGAGCATGCGCTGCGAGACGACGAAGCCGCCGATGATGTTCACCTTTGGTTTTAATGAAAGGGCCTTCTCTGCTAGAGGGTTTTGGTTCATATTGCGCTGTACTATGATAGGAACCCTAAGTAGCAAGCTTCTACACTTGTGGGTTATTGGAGTTTTCAAGCCGTTCCATACATGTCGCACAGGCTTCAAATAAAGGGTAAGGTCTTGGGGTCAGCCTACTCGGGGTTGGGGTCCGAGAAACGCGACTGATCATGCTCGTGCTTTGACCTGGCTATGACGCTGAATATCCAAATGAGGGCTTCAAGACTTTCGTGTGGATCTTGGCCTAGGAGTTGGAGCTAGCAATGTTGGGGAGCAGCTCGGAGGACTCTAAAGCACATGAAGAAACTGGCTAAAGGCCGGAATTCCAGACAGCCCTTGATCCTGAATCCAGCCCCCGCCACACGCATTGACTCAAGCGCGGCTTCTTTCAAGCCGACGGTCATCCCAAGGACACGCTGCAAACCGAATCGGTGCAGCGCGAAGCCAGTCAGAGTTGAAGCTGAAGTGGCTTTGAGATACGGGAAGTTTGAGCCGCACGCAAAATGACACCAAGCCCCGCGCTGCGGAGACGAGGATTGCGATGAGTGCAAGCAGTTGCGCCGAGTAGGAGGACCTGGACGCGAACCCAGAGCCTAAACCTTATCGTTGGAGCATAACTACAATTAACTAGAATAGGAGTTCTGATGAGACGAGGCAGAGAAGCTTCCGGCCGGGACGTCCTAATATGCCCCCTCAATTCCTGACATAAACCGTCATTGCTGGTGCAAGTAGTATGCAGCATGGCGACGGCTGTGACAACTGACAGTCAAGGTCGTAGATGCGAGATGAACATCTTACATTCAGCATCAGTAGTGCTCGTCGTCGCCGTCGTTGTCGTGCTCCTCCTCGTCCTCGTCTTCTTCTTCCTACTCGTGCTCCTCGTGGTCGTCGTCGTAGCAGCAGCAGCAGTGATAATAGCAGTGGTAGTAGCGATGAAGCATTAGCAGCAGTAGTATTCTACTACTACTCCTCCTCCTCCTCCTGCTGCTGCTGCTGCTGCTACTACTACTACTACTACTACTACTACTACTACTACTACTACTACTACTACTGCTACTGCTACCACTACTACTGGAAGTACTAGTAACAGCAGGAGCAGCAGGACTATCCGGCAGCAGCAGCAGCAGGGGCAGGGGAGGAACAGCGGGAGCGGCCGTAGCACGAGCAGGAGGAAGAGGACCGGCAGGAGGGAAGAGGTCGCAGCTTCCGGGACACCCCAGTGTCCCGGACCCGAAGTCACGTTCAAGGATCCCACTTCATTTGTGTGAAGCCTGGGGTTTTGAACTGAAAAATTCGGGCCTGAGGTCTAAGGTTGTCCAAACTTTCACGTGCACACAGCCACCAGCGCAAAGCAAAGCCACGCTCGGTCAAGCAGAAGGAGACCGCCGATGGCGGTCATGCCAGAAATGGCGTTCGTCACCTGAAGGCTTCTTCGGGTCAAGGTCTTGAAACTACAATGTCAGCCTTAGGGTTCAGCTTTAGAGCTTTAGCGAATAAGGCCGAGGGGTTCAGTCTTAGGGTTGGAACAAAGGGGCTCCTCTGAAGCAGCCGATCGAAAGAGCCAGCGCAAGAAATTCCCTGACCCGGACTCTGGCAAAACACTCTGGAGAGACTAATCCCGATCCTCGTTCGGGTGCTAAGATTTCAAGACTCACGGCTCATGGGCTTGAGGTTTTGGGTTTTGGTGGTAGGGCCACATCAGAAGGAGCTGCAACCCTTGGTCAAGCCCCCTTCGTCCTAAAATGCCGAAACTTCAAAACAAGGTACTTAAACTCAGAAGATCGCGGTGTTTCCAGAGCCCCATGTTTTCTCGATGCAGTAACCCATGTTTACCAACAGAACTCGAGGACAAGGAGCAGACATCAGCGGCGTGTGCAGCGCATGGGCCACGCCCCAGACTGCCTGGTAGCCTGCGGCCCCAGCCTCGGACAAAAAAGGTGTACTTTCGGTGCCTTGATAACTGGAACAAGGTTTTGGGCGGGGGGGTATATTATCACATCCGTATAGTAAAGACTATATAGGGCCTATATAATTCTGAGCATTTATCAGAACAAATTCAGGCCCCTGTATCAGCTTAAGATGACCGGTTGACATACTCAGAATACTCGTGCTAAATGTTACCACAACTGAAATGCTAATTTCGATATTCATGCGAATATCAGTGATTACGACGACTGCTGGCGGTGCCTATTTTTTTAGATATCGTACTGGTTCTATTGCCATTGCCGCTGTCACAACTACTTGCAAACCCAGTCTCGTGGTGTGAATATTACTTTTCGCTACAACTACGAGCCGCCGTGCTGCTGAATAAATCATGCTGCGGCAATTATTGCTGCCTCGTTCCTTCCTACTTACTGGAATAAACATTGCTGCACGGCTGTTGCTGGTGCAATTGCTGCTGCTGCCGCTGTAGCGGTTGCTGTTGTTCTTGTATTCATTCTACTTGCTCTTTGCTGCTGTACTACCACTACCACTACCACTACCACTACCACTACCACTACCACTACCACTACCACTACCACTACCACTACCACTACCACTACTACTACCACTACCACTACCACTACCACTACCACTACCACTACCACTACCACTACCACTACCACTCCCACTACCACTACCACTACCACTACCACTACCACTACCACTACCACTACCACTACCACTACCACTACCACTACCACTACCACTACCACTACCACTACCACTACCACTACTACTACTACTACTACTACTACTACTACTACTACTACTACTGCTGCTACTGCTACTGCTACTGCTACTGCTACTGCTACCACTACTACTACTACTACCACCACCACCATGGAACTTTAGACCGAAGCAAGCAGCCAAGAGGAATGTGGAGAGCAAGGATGTAGAAACCCCTTCGCCTTGGAGGGGGCGACGGTGAAGCGGCGCAGAGGTTCTCAGGGCTTTGTGCGAATTGCCGTAGAGGTTAAGAGCGTATTTGAGGGTTCTGAATCTCAACCAACTGTATATTGATATAATACTATATAACGAGACCCCCCCAACTCCCCCCCACTGTAGTCAACAAATACCACGCAGGGTGTCGGAAGAAGGTTCAAACATGCTGACAAGTCTGCGCGGAGCGTTTCGGAAGAACCAGCGAGGAAGCCCGTTATCCAACACGCCATGCGGTGGAACAGTAATTGCTTGCGATGTTGTATTGGCCTCACAGTCGTGCACTGGATTAGAGGACTTCAAAGCATGGCAGCACCAGCACAGCCCCATGGCCAGACTTTCGGCTTTCCGGGGTTCTTCGGTTGCGAAAGCAATGAAGCTTGCTTACATTCGAGGGTTTAGCGTTGAGTTCAGGCAGTAGTCAGACTGTGGTGTTTTGGAGTTCACGATGTAGGGTTCGGGGTCGAAGACTCGAACTCTCAGCCCCCTGACCTGAAACCAAAAAACCGCAGGGTCCCCAAAAAAGCTGAGTCTGCTTCCCAGGGCGAGCATGAAGCTGATGGTGACCGTCAGGACGGTGGCCGAGATCAAAGCTGGGAAAAGGGACGTCGAGGCTTTCGGGCCTAGAGGCCTCGGCATAATATAGGGGCCTTAATACTTAGAGTAGGGTTTTGGGGCCCATTATACTATGAGTATAATAAGGAGTTTTAAAAATATTCTTGGTAACTATTCAGGCCCCCACATTAGGGGCCTCGGCATAAGGATGCTGGAAGATGCTTCCTTTCTGCCAAAACCTGATACAATCCTGCCGACCTCTTGCTGCATGGAAGCTCTGTGTACTCAACCCTCGGCATCCTGCCTGTGTTCATGGGGTTCTCTGCTGCCTTGGCCTGCGCTTGTGCCGACACCGGCTTGGCCTTGATCCTCGTCGGCCAAGATGGGTTCGAGGGTCCGGAACAGGTGGCACCGGGGACTTTATTGGTAGAAATGGGTTCGGGGTTATGAATATGATACGGAACCCTTTGGAATATTACCGGGTTTCAGCACAGCATGTACTATAAGATGGCTGAAACTCTGGGGTGATACAGGTGCTCAACTGGCAGTTTGCAGGGTTTCTGCCATCTCGTGGGATCGAGATGGAAGGGAGGTTTTCCACACGCAACGGACCCTCGATACAGATGAGCGATCGAGTGCTGGCCCATTGCAGAAAAAAGCCCACCTCCATCACCCAATGGCTGGTTGCTAGCTGGTGCTCTTCCGACAGACTAGTTGGATCATCTCGCTCTCACTTCCTACCCATACCAGCTGCAAAAGAGTGCATTCAACCCGAAGCGTCCACGACCTTTTTAAACAACTGCCTAGCTGCGGTGTGGGCTGTGGTGGTGGAGGCATCGTCACCTTCAGCTCCATGCGATTTAGCTTGTCCGGAGGCGTAGGCTGCAGTTTCGGGATTCACAAAAGGCATCCCGGATCCCTCGGCCTTTCTACATTTTGATATATTCTGACAAGGCTTCAAAGGGGAGCTGTTGCCAGACTCCAACCCGCAACGAGTTTGGGGGTTTCTTGATCACCATAGCTCTGTCCATGAGGCCCCCACATTGTTGCCGCCGCGGCAGCAAACGATGCTGCGGGACACGATATCACCAGCCTGATCCGGATCCAGGCGAATCGTTGAAGATTTAGGGATCAGGGCCCAGGGTTCAGTTGGCGAATAAGGAAAGTAGGTCCTAAGGAGGCTCTGGTGTAGGGCATGTTAGCTTTGAGTGGCTCGTCGGGGCTCCTGGATTCTGGAAAGCTTCAGCAAGAATAGGCGTCCCTGCCCATCCCGAGTCCTCGCCCTTGTCCAGTGCGCCGTAGAGGTTGTCCAGCAGTGCGGCTGCCTTGCCTGCAAAAGAAGTGGTTTCAGCATTAGGGTTTGGGATTTGGGCTTCCGTCTGATCATTGCAGCGTTTGGGGCTTGTGCGTCGAGTTCCCAAAGTCTTTTCATCAGGAAACTTGCTGGCGACTGCAGTTTCAACTGCCATTAGCATGATGATTCTTGGTGTGTCCGCTAGCTCCATCCTGGTCCGACTTTTCGGGTCGTCTGGGGAAGAGCGCGGGGCACTTCGGGCGAAAACCTGTACCCTAAACACTCACGCCCTAAACGCTGAACCTTACATCTCAAACCCGGAACCTTGGACGGATGTCCCTAAACCCTAGGCCTCTCAAATGTTCAGATTGAATTTCATAGAACAGGAATATTGACTGGGCATGATACGCGTCGGGGCTCTTTCTCTACACCACCTCTGCATGGGAGGGCTCACGGCCCGGTCTTGTTGGGCATCCGCGTGGAAGTGCGCCCGACAATTCTGACCGCAAGCCCTTTAACAGCCCCAGATCTGGAAGCTTCCACAAATCCCGGGTAAGACAAGACAACTTTGAGGGTGAAGTCTTGTGACACCTCCATGAGCCGTCATGAGCGCTTCTATAGTAGGGTCGTCTTTTTGGATGCCAACATCATGATTGCTACTGCCGTTGCCATTGACACATACTTGGTTTTGCTGATACTCACATTGGCTTGGAAAGAAGATTGTCTTCAGTTGCCTCTTTGAACAAGGAAGAGGATCGCGGCACTGAACTTCAGTGATGGATGTGACTCGTGACTCGTATCCTATGGTAGTACTTATTACAACGAGGTATTATTCCCAACTGATGCCATTAGTCGTAGCAGCAGCACCACCAGCTGCAGCAGTGGCTGTGCAACGTGGTTGTTGTGGTAAACCTTGTGGTTGTGGTGGCCGTGCTGGCAGCGACAGTGGTGGAAGTGGCGCGGTTGTGGTGGCGGTCGGGGCTACCGTGGCAGACTGGGGTGTGGCAGTCCAATGTGGTCCGGCTACGGTGAGAGTGATGATGGTGGCGGTGCTGGTAGTGGCGATGACGATGGTGATGGTGGTGATGGCAGCGGTGGTGCAGATCGTGATGATTTTAACAATGACCACGATGATCACGACATTGATAATGTTGACAGCCGTTGCTTTAACACAGCTATCACTCCTTCGCTGTGGACACGTCTGTCAGGACCCAACTCAGAATAAACCTCCGCGCCGGCCAGTCCTTTGTCGTGGATGTGCTTCAAGAGGTTCGACATGTTCTGGGCATACATGGCGCTGGCCTGTGTTGCTTTCAAGGCAATAGTTAATAGGGCAATGGGATTTCTGGCATCAAAAACAGATGAGCAAAAGTGCCCGAAGACTCAGAAGATCGGGCATGCAGAATTTCAGCAGGTCTTGTGCTATTGGATTAGAACGGAATGACGTTGTGAAGCACTCTACGTGTATTCTACATTGCTTCCGAGCAGCGCCTCACAAGCTAGGGATGAGAAGCCAAATTCCTCCAACAACAGAAACGATAATGAAAGACGAGCTGGAGCCCTTGTCACGGCCTGTTCAGGCATCCGTGCTGGCAGATTCGCATATCCAATGATGGTGACCCCATTCCTCAGCCAGGCACTCGCAATCCGTCTCGGAGGAGAAATCAAGAGAGGTTCGAACTACAGGCATAAGAAGCACACGAACATGTGTCCAGGAAAGCCTGCAAACTCAACTGACCCTCAACAAACCATTTCGCAGCTCAGATCCTCTGGAATTCAGAGCTTACGATAGGAGGCACTCCACAATCCCAAGAGAAGGCCGTTTGGCAAGCTTCGGGGTGACGATGGTCTCGTTCAGCCTGGTGCAAGAAAGCTGTCATTGGAAGGCGGGATGGGGTGGGGCGGGGCTTCTCACCGATCTAGACCCTTCACCCTCTAACCCAGTCTAAGCACTGCAAGAGTCCCGAATCACAATACTACTTGGCAAACTGCACATCCCCAACCACAAGCGGATGATCACGGTCTCAAAATAATCGCTACAGCCAGAATGCAAAACAGGAGTAGTCATCATGCCAATAACAATCTGAAGAAACCCTGAGGCCGAGGTTGGGGTTTAGAGCTTAGGCCTCTGTTGTATAGCGACCTGAACCACGAAACCTGTACAAAACTCTGAATTCCAATCAAGCTGAAGCTTGAGGGCTCAAACTCAGATCCGAGATGGGGCTTAGGGTTCGGGGGTATATTGGAGTAGGCTATAAGATTAGATGTTATACTCTGACTATCCAGTATGTAAGATGGTGACTATGATAAGGGAAATTGTCACTGAGTATTCAGATGCCCAGCAGCTTGGTCAGCTCACAGTTGCCACCGCCCACAGCCGCCAAGTCCACGACTACGCTGCCCGGCTTCATAACAGCCAAGGCATCCTGAACGAACCGCTCAAGGGACTTAAAGATCTGGGGCTGAGGGTTTCAAACTAGCCTGCAGCAAATTCGCGTGAAACTGGACCGCTGGTGCTACTCCTTTTCATTTCGCCGCTGCTAGCAGCACCATCTCCACAACAACCACGGTTTCCGCTGATGCTGACGATCACCACCACCATCACCGCCATTACAAAGATCACCGCAATGAGCTACAGATGCTCTAAATTCCTGCACCATCAGCCACACGCACTTCCTCCCTTAACTCAAAAACAACCCCGAACAACACCACCCTGCCTTGGTGATGAGGAGGGGGCTCGGGCGCCCCGGAATGGCGGCAGTGCTGATGGCGATGTCGCACTCCTCCAGCACACAACAGAGCTTCCATCCTTGTAGATCAGGTAAGACCCCAAGCCCACAACCTCAGGGCCCGGCCTAATAGCAAGAAACGAGAACGGACGGGCGAACGAGGGCAGTTCAGGAAATTATCCAGGTGAACCTATGTGTTTGGTGCTTTTTGATTTTTTAAGATCTTTAGGATTTCGCTGGTTGGAGACTTCAGGACAAAGTCGAAGACGATGGTGTTTCTAGTGAGGCTGTACTCCAAGAGATAGGCTTTGCACTCTCGGGTGCAAAATCGAAGGAGCGCTAGCCGAAACAGAATTCCCTGCTCCCATCTCACCAGGAATCTGCCAGGAGTCTTCACACAATTGTCGTAGCCCGGCATGTCTGCAGGTGATAGATCACTGCTTTGTTGGGCTCACACATGTCCGTGTTGGATGGAAGAAAGCGGTAGGCTAGGGTCTTCGGCGTCCTCCAGACCTTTCGGACTTCACACCGAGCTTCTCAACCCCGACCGTAACGCCCCCAACATCCCAGTTACGGAGTCTCGTGAACCCTTAAACCCTATATCGCAATATAGAAACCCTTTATCACCCCCTCTAGTGGAAAACCCCAGAAAAATCTAGGGTACCTGAAGCCATCTCCTTGAGGACCTGCTTGAAGGTCTCCTGCTGCACCTGCAGGGTTGGGGCTTGTAAGGTTTGGGGGTTGGGGTTGGGGGTCTCGGGCATGGCTCGAGTTAGTTAGGCACTCGACTGATCTCGACTGACCCCCAACTCCAAGGCCACCAGGATGCTGGTGCAGGCGTAACATTGGGGCCTCCTACAGTCTAAACCCCAAGCCTCAGCTCGAAGCTGCTAAACCCGACATATTCCTCGGACACTCAGGATTCTGCGCCCTAGACTCAGGGCCTTAGGTTGCTGATTCAGGCTCTTGGAAGCAAAACAGGCATGAATGACGGAGTCGTCTTGGATGGTAGGACCTGGTAGGGTTATGTAACTGTAGGGTTCAGGGCTTTGGGTGCTAATGTTGGGGTTGGAGGACTCTCCTCGAAATTCCCAGCCCAATGAGGGAGGCCGTGGCACCTTCTTGAAAGCGTCCGAGGACTCCTTGGCGTAGCCACCTTGGCCCTCACCGCTCTCCTTGAAGTCAACCTTCACCCACTTTGCGCCCATGGAGTGCACCTGTGACGAGTTACAGGCTTGGGGATTTCACAGCGACTATCTCGATAAGCGAAAAACCACGCTTCATCCTGGCCGTCGTTACATCATCATGACCAGCATGACCATGACCATCACCCTGATATTCGTCATCACCATCAGCAGCATCAGCGGCAGCAGTGGCAGCAGCGGCAGCAGCAGCAGCAGCTTCACCATTTTCATCTTCAAGTAAGACGTATTAAACCGAGCCGTAAGTGCTAGACACTCACCAATAGCTGCAAACAGTCCTGAACGTTGCTTCGGCATACGACCATGAACACAGGCTCAAACAAGTGTCCGGAACCCGCTTGGTGCGCCGCAGTTCTCAAATGTGGCATTCACGAGAAGACTGGTGGAAGGAAAAGGCTGCAGACAACGGACATGGCGAGCTAGTGAGTCGTTTTATATCAGAGAAGTATCATCATCACACACGGCTTCAAAGCTCCCACCTGGTCAGAGACGTCGCGCACGTCCCATGCTCGCACCTAGATGGTCTCAGGCGGGTATGTTAAGGATTTATGGTGCCGGGTTCTGAGGTTCAGGACTTCAGGATGTAGGCTTGATCCCAACTACCCCCTTTAAAGCCCGAAGGTAGATGCGAAACCCCGAAACCCTGAACCCTCCAAGTCTCCTCAAAGATTCCCCTTATAGTATCCTTACCTGCAAGACTCCCTTTATAGTATCCTTATGCTTCTAGAATCCTTACTTTAGGGTTTAGAGTTTTAATTGAGGGTTTAGGGTTTAGGGTTTTGATTGAGGGTTTAGGGTATTTGGTGTCCGAGGCACCACGGAGCCCAAAGCCTTGGAGGTGCCGATGGCTGCAAGCCCGGCCACGCCGCAGCCGAGGACGAAAGTCTGGGCAGGCCTCGGGCTTGAAGCTGAATAGAAGGGCCTTCTTTTACAATAAGGATATAGGTTTTTTACAAAAATAGAAGGGCCTTCTTGCAAATATAATAAGGATAGGTTTGTAAAAATGGAAGGACCTTCTTTTATAATCAGGAACCCCTCACAGTTAGCAATGGTATTTATCTAGGCTGTAGAAGGGTTCTTGGCTGTTTGAGGGTTCCAGACTTAAAGCGGTAGCTCCTTTTCTATTTCAGGTGCGCCTTTATGGTTTTAGGGTGCGGGGCTTTGTGGATCTAGGGTGGCTTTGGACTGATACGGTTTAGAGCAAGCTCAGGGCTGTCCGGGCTTTGAATTGGGGTCCGAATCTTTCGCATTTCAGGGTTCAGGGCATAGTATCACCATTTAATCATCTTGTTCATATAATAAAGATTGTTACTATTGAATTGTGTGATTTAGTAGTATTTTTGACAATATCAAAATTGAAGTTCGCCGAGGGCGGGCTCCGTCAGGTTTAGGCGCGTTCCTGAGATCCGACGTCCAACAGCAGCTTCATGTAAGGACTAGCAATACTGTGCCACACTAGCACCATTGATATGTATCGAGTACCAGCACTCATACCAGAAACGCTTTGTCCCACTAACAATTCGGTCGAAATCGCTTAGCTAAGAGGCGGGTATTTGCCCGCCGCTGTCATCTCAGCAGTGTGGAAGCGCTGGTAAGAGTGTGCCTTGGGAGCTGCGAAGCCGATGTCGATGCAAGAGCAGCCAGCACTGTCAGACGTCAAACCTTCTAGTCCCCAACCCTAAATACTGCGTAGGCTAAAACTAGAACTCGAACATCCCAAAACCAAAACACAAACCCATTCCTTGCCGAAGAGCAATGGCCAAAGATTCCCTGCAACGCAAACCGTTTGCAAAACAAAAGCCTCGTTTGATTGAGGAACGTTGGCTGAATTGCGGGTGTAGGATTCACGATTCAGGATCGAGGGTCTCCCGGTTTTGAAAGGTCTTCAAGGCTTGTAATTAAATAAAATTTCGGAGGTTGTATCAGTTTGCTTTCGAGCACAGGAACCGTCACTGATTCTGCCAGAAATCCTCATAGAGCCCTCAAGCCAGAAGCTCTGAACCCAAACCCTGAAAGCCTGACCCTAAACCCTCAAACGACTCCGAACCCTGCCACAACCCTGTACCACCATCCTACAGCACCCCTCTGGAACAATCATCAAGCCCTTGCAAAAACCCCCTCGAATTGGCCAAACCAGCCCTCCCAAATCCAGACCGGGGTGCCGCTTCAAGCACGGCCCGGTGCCCAGCCACTTTGGCCTGGGAACTAAGAACGTCCAGCCTCGGAGACCGAAAGGTAGGTCTGGGGCCTCAAGGCTTGGGTTTTCGGAGATTAGGGGTTCAGGAGTTTCGGGGTTTGGGATGTGGGGGCTAGGGCAGTAAGGGCGACGATTCTTTCGGGGGGGTTGGGGTTGACCACCTCCACCGGCTGGTCGCGTGAAACCCCAAGCCGCAAGTCCCGGACGGCGCATCGATAAAACCTACTATAATAGTAGAACTCCAGCCCGTCCCGAAACCCGAAGTGCCCGAAACACACTTCTCCCCGAACACCCAATCAGAAACGCTAAAGATAAGCCGTGGAACTTCTGGGCGATGGTGATGCGAGGGACCGCAGTGACCTGGGCTAGAGGCCAGAGCGCCAGAATGGAATCCTGAAGCCTGATCGACTGTAGAGCATGGCATCTGCAAATACTCTGGCTGTAATTAGGCTGGGGTTTCAAGGCGAAGAGAGGTCGGACTCAAACTGCCGCCTGTTTCAGGTTCAGCTGTTATGAGGCTGGAGTCCCCTCTTGGGGAGGCCTCTGCAGCCAAGCAGCGTCCACCACCGTGATGCGGTACTGGTTTGCCTTTTGGATGACCTCCTCCAGAACGCTGTTGGGTCTGGGACTGAGACTGAAAGAATCGGCGGAGAGATCGCGTCGTGGAGGGCAGAGTGCGTACCGTGTCGCTATTCCTGACTCCTGAATATCAACCTCGCGACATGCTCATGTTATGATACGCAGAGATTTCTCTGAGCACGCTGTCGAGCTGTTCAATGAAGCCCGAGCATCTTCACACACTTGACCTCAGCACCCTCAGCACCCAACCGTAACCGTGTGTAGCGAAAACGCCAGCCTAAACCCATCCCACTGTCCCTAGACCCCAACGTGCCACAGCCCTGAACCCAAAGCCAAATTCCCAGGCTCTGAAATGGCCATCCTCACTCCCTGTGACTCCTTGCCCTTGTCTTGCAGACGGCCAACCCAGGAGACCAACACCTGTTAGGCGGCAGTCAACTGAACAGTCAACTGAACAGTGCCTCACTTAAAAGACCCTGGTTTAGAGGTTCGTCTAGAGGCTATGGGCCGCTATAGGCCGCTATGGGTCTATGAAGGTTCTGTGTTTAAGGACTCTGCATTGAGGGGCTTGGTTTGGGGTTCTAGGCTACTAGGCTTAAGGCTTCCGGGTTTTGGTTTTGTGGCTTCGGGTTTGGGGCCATGGGCTTTTAGAGCCTGGGGGTTTGGGTGCGGCTATGTGGCTACAGGGCCGAATGGGGTTCAGGGTTGGGTTCATCTTAGGGTTCAAGCTTCGATTTAGAGCTTGGAGTTGGAGTTGCTCATGCCAAACTCCAACTCAACCAGGTCCGAAGCGCGCTTTGCTAGCCTACAGGATGGTGGCAACGCTTTCTGGTACTGGTACCGCATGTTGACAGCGAGCGGCTTGAAAGCGAAAACGAACAGGATGCTCTTACATACTGATTACCTCTAACACAAGGGCTTTGTTTGTTACGAGAAGTATGGCAAACTGCCGCCCCGACAGTACCATACATAGGCCACACAGCCATGCCAGAAACAGTGATACGGACAGTCAATAAAACTAGTGGTAACGAGGACCGAATCAAGTCAACAGACATAATTTGGTAGCAAGTCTTAGCAATGAGTGCGGCACGGGCCTTGCAATTCATGATCGAGAAGTCCTGCACAGGTGCCTCTAGAGCGAAGAGAACCTGGCGGCAAGTGTTGAGGTGTAGAGGCTTTGGAACTAGGTGGGCGAAACTGATGTAGGGGCGTTACGAATTAGAATAGGGTTTGCCGGGTGTACTATACTATACCTATAACAAGGAACCCCCAAGCCCCTAGTCTAATGAATAAGGCGCCTACATTAGTGCGTGTCTGAAGGCTGTGGAGCAGCCCTATGCTTATGCAAGCTCCTTTAAGGCCCTTGGGGATTAGGATGAAGGAATATGGGGGGACTACTATTTCAAGTTATAAGGGATTATATAGTAACTCTTATAGGGATCCACCCTGGTTTGGGGTTTCGGGTTTGGGGTTGCAGTGCTTGGCAGCGCATCAGTCAAGCAGCCCTAGCCCTGAGTGCTTAGGCGTCTAGTGTCCAGACTGAATTCATGAGACTTCGCCCCGATTGAAAACACTAAACCCCAATGCCCGACAGTCCGAACCCCCAACCCAAAAAAGCAAAAAAAAAAAAAAAAAAAACACTCTACAACCAAAACTGTGTAACAAAAACCCAATCTGCCAAAACGTCACGGCCCTGCAACCATCTTCGACAGGGAGCCTGGGACTTTTCGATCACGTTTCCCCTGGATTCCAGCAGGCAGCCTTTGTCGGCATATGCCTGAATATCCGGTGTGGGATCTGCATAGTGCCGTCTGGGATCAAGCCGGCGAGAGCATAAGTAAACCTGAGGAAACGCCTTGGTTGCCTAAGCTTTTCCCTAAAACCCCTCCCGGTCTTTTTGGAAGCTCCAGGTGTACTGTTGCAACCTGGCGGCCTGGTCCGAGAAGCCGGCGTAGACTCCAGCACCTGTTGTTCGCGATTTAGGGCTTTGGGCTTTGGTGCGTGAATCCTCCGGCGGTTTAGAAGGGGTTCATCAGGGCCCGCGCAGAATGCTTTAAGGAGCCAGAAGCCCTGCCGTGGCCCAAAGCAGATCCTGCCTTTCTCCACGTACACTGCGTATCCGTCCTGCCAAGGCTAAGGCAACGCACGAATAGTCGGACCCCAAACACCTAAGAGCTTTAAGTGACACCGCGGTACAGGAGTTTTCGAATGCTTGTGATGCAAGCTTGAGGATGTACGGAAAGTGTGTGTTGTTTAAAGTCTCTAGGATTTGGGACTTAGGGTCCAAAGTTGAATTGTCCTCTAGGAATTTGGGCCTGCAGGTTGTAGCGAATCGTCGTCTTGGTTCGGGACCTGTTCTTTATCGAGCATCTGTCTACGAGTCTAGCATACGCTTCTGAGCTGGAAAGAAGCAAGGACCGTGATTTAAGATTGCGGTTGTCGAAGCGGTGCAAGAGCAACCCCCTCATTCCCCCTCCATTTACACTCATCTTGACTCTAACAAAACCCTCATATGTGTATTGCATATTGGATATAGTTCTACGACACACACACACACACACACACACATATATATATATATATATATGCACCCACATCAGCACAGCCAACCCCGACTGCCGTGCAGCAACCCCCTCCCCCCCCCCCCACTTCCCAGAACCACATCTTGCCTTCATCAGCTGCGCCGCAACATCGGGTACCATGCTGACGCGCGGGTCGCCTGGGCCGGGAATGGGACTGTTTCTCATAATTTTCAGGCTTCAACATGGGCCAAGGGCTTCACGGCTTCAGGGCCTAGTCCCCCAACTTGACGCCGAAACCTTGTAAAGGTTCAGGGCTCTCACAAAAAGAAAACCACACCTTGAGGAGACTCCAGGTTTGAGGTGTCAGCCGGCCGGCTTTTGAAACCGAGGATGCCTCAAGGCTTCGGGTTTAGGGTTTATGATTTCTACAGGAATGAACCAATGTCAGTGCGTATTTAGGCTCCCATGTTAAGGCGTGACCCCAAAAAATTCGCAAGGGCTTCATAGAAGCGGCTTTTCGGAGAAGGTGGATCATGCGAAACCAGCGTCCTCCTGAATCTTTCTATACGTCCATACGGCAGTTTCAGAAGTCTCCTCAACCACCGGATCCGAGACCGTATTAGGGGCCTTAATAATTAGAGTAAAGTTTTGGGGCCCATGTTTATGCTACGTTGCACGCGGAAGGGGCAGTTTACCCGGTACTTGTAGAAATCATGTGAGCCATTCTTCTTGCACATCCAAGCAGCCCTTTGAATTCTTCGCATCCGGGCTGAAGCCCTCGCTCAGCACTCCCAGAACACACCCAGGCTTGGCCTCCCAAGGGCGCAGGGCTCTCACGTAGGGGCCTTGATAATTAGAATGGGGATTGTGGAGCCCATTTTACTACAATTACAAGAAGGAACTCCCCAAAATAGTATTGGTAACTGTTTTGGCCCCTATATTACGACGCAAAGAGCAGGCAGAATCCTGGCACTAGAAGCTCACACCCGAGGCGTTGAAAAGACTTGCCGTGCAAAGTCGAAACAGAGAAATGTCGACCACGTTCATTTCATGGAAGACTCGCTCGAGATTCGGCAACACATCCAGCAACACCCGGAAAAGCAAAATCAAAAATGCCACAGGAAACAGCAAGAAGACCTTTCGTTGCATCGTCGTCATTGCGATCGCCCCGAACATCAGGAGAAGGATCATCATCAACAACAACAACAACGACGACGACAATCATCATCATCATGGCCATCATCACCATCATCATGACAATCATCATAATCAGAATCATCATCATCGTCGTCATCATCATGATCATCATCATCATGATCAGGAGCGGCATCGCCATGAAACAGAATCGCCGTTACATCACCATCGTCGTCATCGTCACCATCGTCATCATCATCGTCATCATCAGCATGATGTCGGTCATCATCTCCATCATCATCGTCAACCTCGTCGTCATCGTCATGGCCATCGTCATCATCACGATCATGCCAGTAGTCTTGCGACGGCTGCCAGTTTTGACCACTGTTTTTGTTTGCTCCTTCTCCTGCTGGCTTTGAGCTTGCCATCGGGGCCAGCCGAACCCGAAGTGCTCACTCCCTTCCCCCCCGCCTCTCCCACACCACGCGCTCACTTGCTCACTCACGCACTCTCGCTCGCTTTCCCTATTTCTCTCCATATATGTGCACATAAATAGAATCTATATTACAGATATATACATACTTAGCTATTCATTTGTTCATTTAGTTGTTTATATCTGTATGTGTCTGTGCATTTGTTTATTTGTTTATCCGGGGACGAAACATGGCTACATCGGTGTGAAAGGTACACTTCACCTTGTCATCCTTCAGCAGCGGGGTTGCCGATGCCATGTGACCTGCAGGGGGCGTCAAGTGACGGTTTCGCAGTAGGGTTTAGGGTTTAGGGTTTGGGGGGTTTAGGGTTCAGGGCATAGTTTGTTCAAGCTGCTCGGACTGGCCTGCCCAATGTGGCAAGTGCTTGGGGGACGCTTCCTGATACCTCCGCTAAAGCAGAAATGGCTGCGGCGGAAAGATCCCTCACCCGCTGAACCACAAATCCTGAAGGAGGGTGAGGCTATAATGACAAAGTGAGACATGAATCTTGGACCCCAACCAGCCGGCTGAAGAAGTACGAAACAAACCTCTACAGTACAGCTCACTGGTGACTAGCGGCACAAACATGACTCGCCCGTGGGATCACATGGCTTTAAGAAGGCATTCCAATGCCAAAGGCTGCGCAATCAAATGCTAGCAGCTGAAAGAAGATGGGCAAGCAGGAATTCTGCGGACCGAAACCTCTAGCATAGCGATGTCAACCTGACTTAGTTCCTGGCTGTTGAGGAACTCTTGGCTCCAGCTAGAGACATCAACCGCTGCCGCCACCAGCACCACCAGTGGTCATTTTGACCCCGGTCCCCATTCGTTTCCCTCCGCCGGCATGGGTTTTTTCTAGATAAGGTCTAGCCCGTTCTCAAACCCCACAGGCCGAGTCTGCCACGCAACGTGGAGGTGCCACGGGTTGAGGCAGCACAGCAGGCGCTCGAAAGTGAAGCATGGCCGCTGGAGTAGGGGCATGTGGGGGCCTTACACGTCGGTTTTACGGCCTGAGGTGATGTGCGATCCGGAGTACCATGCCATGTAACTGCTAGGTTTTTTCAGTGGTGCAAGCTACTGTATCTCGCGCTCTGGCAAATCTTGTGAAACGCGTTTCCACTCGCCATGCCACATACCATAGGGGCCTTAATAATTAGAATAGGGTTCTGGTGGTATTATACCACAATAATAAGGAACCCCCAAACAGTATAGGTAATTAGTTAGGCCCCTATACTACAGGAAGGGTGCGGTCTTTCGAGCCGGAGTTGGAAGATGGAGGACGGCTGTTCGGGCACTCATGTGGCTTGCAAGACACACGATCCTGAAGCAAAGCGTGAGACAGAGGTCGGCAACCCTGAATCTAATGTAGGGGTCTTAATTATTAGAATAGGATTTGGGGCTATACTAGGCTATAACTGACTATAATAAAGAACCTACATTAATGCCGGAAAGCTCAGTTCAGTCACATATTCATCTCGTGCCGTGGCTGTTGCAGTTCACCTTGGGCGGACCCTAAGCTTACAAGTGGACATGCATGGTCGATCAGGGTAAGGACTTGTAATGATGAGGTCGTAAACACGGCTGAAGTGGAGGAAGGTATGCAGTAGCTCGAGGTCCGGAAGTCAATTTCACTGAAGGCATGCTCAGCATTATCTGGCTGTCTGATACAGCAATTCAAACATTCAGCTGCTGCTTGAAAACGAATCCGACGTCTCGTTTGCCAGTGGTTCTTCCGACGGCTCATCGGAGTCACCGTCTGGAGGCAAGAGCACTCGAAGCGAAGCACAGCATTCCCAAGAGCTGTTCTCACGGTCGTCATTGGCACTCTCCGCCCGCATCGCACAACGCCGCACAATTCTGCCGACTTGCCGAGAACGCTCGTTCCCATCAATCCACTGAGCAAACAAGCCCATCTCTTCGCTGAAAACAAGCTGCTGGATTTTCCAATTGAAGACGTCCACGTCTGCGATCTTCGCCATGATCATTTCCTTGTCAGCACGAGACGAAGCCAGGCATTGCCTGACATCTAACAGCGAGAGCCTGTCGTAGTTTCGATCTACAACATCTTGCGACGAAACCTGTATTCGAGATTGCATGGCCAGCACGCTGGCCTCAAATATCTCGGCAACACACCATGCCGGTAAAGCACGTCGAAAGCATCATCAACCACGATCAGATGCCCGAAGCCCGCCACTTCCATTGCCAAGTGTGTCATCATGTCATCGAACTTGTTAAGTTCACACCTTGCGTCAGTGTGGCTGAAAACTTTTTCCACATGACAGTCGCAGAGTACAAATGCCGCGCCGGTGACTGAGTCATACCGCTTCCTGTCCCAAGCGGCCCATTCCGGCGTCCCCTGCTGCGGTTCGGGCCCGAAGCCAGCACAAATACTAGCATGCTGGTTGATGCAAAAGGCGCAGACCCAGTAGGCCGTGTCCAGCTTGCCGGCTAACTTGGACCGGACCTGTTCAAAGCCTCAAGAGGTGGCGATCTGAGCAACAACCTCGTCATAGGAAGCCTGTCCCAAAGCATCCGCAAGGATTGCCGAGACGAGGCTTCCAAAGCCGTTGGTCCAGTTGTGCGTGACCATAACGTGCGGCTTCGTCTCGGCTCCAGACCATAGACTTGCCAGGGCACAGCCATGGTTTCCAACTCGCGATTCCGGGATGATGACACGCCTGACACGCCGCACCACATCGTTGGTCACGGAGCGTCGCGGATCAAAGCCCGGCATTACCTCGCCCTGGAGCTGAAGTTGTTCCCAGAAGCTGAGAAGCGTGCCAAGGCGAAGGCCCCGGCTTGCTATCTGCTTCACTACCTGGGCAGTTCGCTAAGTTGGGGTCCCTTCAGTGGGTTCCATTTATATAATAACGTCCTGTTTTTGCAAGGGTGCCCGTACTATTTTGGTGATCCTAATTGAGAGAACTGCCCACCTGGTGGTAGACTTCCTGTTCGCTGGGGCTCAGCGAGCTTGACATGGAGACCAGCCCTCGGGCGAGTCGTTCGGACTGCGGGTCATCCTCGGGAGGCTGCACTTGCCAGAGAATCCCAGAAAGAAGGCCCAGTCCTAGTGAGTTCACCACCCAGTCACTGTGGATGACCACCTGAAGAAGCTCTATCCACTTGAGCATGAGCCACAAGTTTGCTTCTGATGAGGAACCACGATAGCGCCACATGGCACGTAGGCACAGGCCAGAAAAGATGCCGTAGACGCATATGCCCAGTCCCAGCACTGCACAGATCAGCATCTCCATGCCCACAACGTGGGCGGCCCAGATCGCCTGCTTCCTGGCAGGCCCCCCCCGAACTCGGCTCGTCTCCTGTAGCAGAAGACTCAACTTGAGGGCCAAGCTCCTGCATGTTAGAGCCGTGTATGCAACCCACACAGTACACAGCACTGACAGGCTGACGACATAGCTCCAGGAATGGAATGGAGAAATGTTGTGTATGAACCAGCTCAGGCACATGATGGGTATCCATACGTGAGTGGAGGAGGTCTGCAAAGAAGAACGGATTCCCATAATTCGCATCTGCAACAAGTAGAGAGTCCAGCCAAATGCAACACACTGCACACTACAACCGAGCTGGAACAAAATGCCGGCGGCCAAAAATTGGGCTAAGTCACTCAATATGAGTGAGACCTGCTCCGCTGAAGCCGCAAGCCAGAATGCGAACATGCACCACTTTGCATCGTGTGTGCAAGTAGTTCGCGGGTGCTTTCTAAGCATGCAGCAAATCCAGATCAGCGAGAGCAGCACAAGAGCAAGCGTCTGCTGACAGGGACCAGCGCCGAACAATCCCTGCTGCAGGCGCGACATCCAAGGAAACGCCCACACCACGCATGGATAGCCTGCCAGAAACGTGACGAGAAAGGTAACCAAGCCGCAAACAGCGACCGTGCATCTGCGCGAGCAGTGCCTACCAGCCGAAGAGCCAGGGACGTGCAGAACTCCGAGGCATAAGCCAAGCCAAGTGCCCAATGCGGATCCCGGAGATATATCAAATTCTCCTATAGAAGAGCGTGAGACCCGCAAGTGACTGTGGGCCGAGCTACTCGGAGCTGCCAAACGGTGCAAAACGCAAGCAGACCCAACAGAAGGCTGCAAGAAAGCACGCGCCACTTGACTTCAAAAGCAAGAGGCCTCTGGCATCCGGAGAGCATTTTGCGTGAGGAAAGTGCACGAATATCTTGGGGTCAGTACTTCTGCCGGGCGCTGTTGCTGTGGTGGCATGGAGGCGAAGTTGGCCGGGCAAAAGGCAGAGAGAAAGTCTTGAGTCTTGAGGCGACACCTACGCTTTTTTTGCCTAAATCCTGGACTCTTGGAGTGCTCGTAGCGGATGCCTCCTCTGTTTGGCAGGCGATCCGGCGCAGAACACAGAATTCTCACCGCAAAGCTTGAAAACTTGCAACGTCTGTACCCTAACCTGAATTGACCACCCTTGCCTGTTCTCAGCATGTATAACACCGTGCCGTAGATTCATAGGCTCTAGGCTGAGGACTCTCCTGGGATTGTATCTTGCTTAGGTTGGATGCCTGTGGCGGTTTGTGGCGATCGCAGGTCAGCAGACTTTGCTGACGACTATTCGCTGCTACCTGTTCTTGTTGACCGCGCACGATGATGTCGTCACACAGAACACCGTCATCTGCTTCAACCCAGCCCCACATTCGGACCTGTGCGATGCCCAAAATCGGGACTCCAATCCAAGCTGCGGGCAGTCTTTTGACCTACAAGCGTTGTCGTCGCGAAACTTGGCGCCCCGTCACTTTGGGAGCTGCCAGCAGCTCAGACAACCTGAAACTTCCGATGGTTTGGGGCGGTTCTTGCATTCCTAAACGGAAGCTTTAGAGCCTTGAGGGCCTGCCGTGCGTGAAAAGCCCTGGACACCAGATCATGTTGCCAAGGGAATGAAGGATAATGAAGGGTGCCCCTGTATGTAGTTGTAAAAGTACCGCATCTTCAACTATCTATCTATCTGTCTATCGAAAGACCGATCTATCCATCCACCTATCTAGATAAGATATGCACACACACACACGCAGCTGGTGCTCCTATATAAAAGACAAAATGTATGTGTGCATATGTACATACATACCTACCTACCTACGTACATACATACATACATACACACACGCATACATGCAGATACCTGCAGGCATGTCTATACATACACATACATATATATATATATATATATATATATATATATATATACATATACATACATGTATGCATGTATGTACGTATGCATGTATGTGTAGAACCCCTTCGAGGAATCTGTCACAGGTGGGCATGCCCGAAAATGCACGTGCAAAAGTCGGCATTGACAATGGTGCCATTAGCTAATCAGTAGCTTTTCTTTACCCAGGTTCCAAAGGCTCACTGATTTGGCTGAGCGCCACCTGCATAACAGCCTCTCACTCACCGACTAAAGCACAAATTCAAGCCTTCGATCCTGAGCCTAGGCCTAAGCCCTTCTTATAGCAGCTGCATGATGAGTGCAACAACTTACAACAGAAACCAATGTTGGGGATTGGTCACAACGTAGTACATGCAGTCCAGCATTGGACAGGCGATGCTGGCACTCTTTAGATCTTAGTCTTAGCAAGAACGAAAAGTATTAATCGCATCAATACGAAGCTGTGGTGGTTTAAAACTCCTCCTCGACCAAAACAAGCTTACATATCTTAAACTCATTCTTCATTCTCTGTCTGGCATCAACGAAAGCTCTGTCCCTTATGGAAGCCTCGAAGAACCCTTGCAATTCTAATTCTGACGTTGAGAAGCATGCACATTTGCTGCTACAAGCAAGAGGAGCTCCATTTTCTTCTGCGCGAGATTAAGCGTCTTCGTCTATTGAAAGATAAGGACTGTTCGTATTACCCGTTAAACACAAAACAACCTTGCAAGGTATATCTGATATCTTCTGCTGGCTTATCGGTGGTTTGGAAATGAAGAGCTCGACATGCTTTTAAGTATAGCCAACGGTCCTGTGCCCAACGCCTGAAAAGAGATAGACGTGCTCGTAACTCTTACCCGAGTGAGATAGCCAACCTTCGTCTCGCTGAAAGATTGTAGGAGCTGCAGCACTCTTTGCCACTTGTACGGGATAAATGACGAGGAGTTGCCTGACTCTTCTATGGGGAAAACAAGCATTCGAGAGAACAGGACCTTTGTCGTTTCACTTCTCGTGACCGGTTTCTTTTGTTTCTTCATACTACATCAATTGAGAACCGCTGCACATCACAAGTCAGCAAAGTCATAAACCAAATACAAGTGAAATAAAAAAACATGGCGCATGTAGTTATTCAAGTGCGGAGTTTCTTCTTCCTCGAAGAAAGCTGGCATCGACCGAAGATTCTTGAGGGATCGCAAGGATTCGGATTGCACCGCCCCGGAAACCATAACCGAATAATCATTAAATAAAAAATGAACGACATTTTGCGCGCATCTCCTTGTCGCAATGAACTGCAGGATAGTTCCTGTGATGAGGGTGGTCGGGAGGAAGCAAAACTATCGAATAAGTAGTTGCACCTCGGCGAATGACAAAGCGAAGGCTGCGATTTGCACATGGGCATGTTCCGTACTCAGAAGACGCGAAAAAGATCACGACTCACGACACTAGATGAATGGCAATCCGAGTGCCGCGAGCTAGACTGCCCGGTGAATAACACGATGATGGTTACTTTCCTGAAATCAGGGACACGGAGAACCGCTGCGCTTCCCGAGTCATATAGTATCTCCGAGTATATTCTAATATAACGTTGTATGTTAGCATGCTAATACTTTATGCGAACCGCCGGATCCAGACTAAGGGCCCGGCATCAAACCTTGTCCAAGTTGGCGGCCTGAAAGCATCGAGTGAGACAGTTTCGGTAGCTTCGGCAGAGCTTCCAGGGTTTAGGGTTTAGGGTGAAGTGGCTAGCGCACCGGATTCGCAGAAACAGCTGTCTGAACCAGGATACAGTGCCACGATCATGCATAAACTGCCACGATCATGCGCTTGCCCTTGCGAATGCATCCGTCTGTAAGGTTTCTCTGAATAACTCCATGCGCTTGCTTTCTTCTTCAACTAATACTATAGGGGCCTTAACAATTAAAAAAGGATTCTTGGGCCCACTATACTATAATTATAGTAAGAAACCCCCAAGCCCCTATAGCAAATTGATCTCTCGGTCTTGATCTCCCAGGCCTTGAAAAGCGCATCCCGACCGTCCAGTCTCACGACCCAGCGCTGGCGGTCTCGGGCAAAGTGCTGGAGCACCCCGACCTGTCACCGGTCAGTGATTCTGCTGATGGACAAAATCCTGCATGACCCTAAGGACTCTAAACTATGTCCATCAACAGTTTCGGGATTCAAAGCCAAATAGAGGGGCCGGGTTTCGGAAATTTTCTTGAGTACTCATAAAGGAACCCTAAGGAATAGAATCATCTGTTATTCTGGCACCCTGTATTGATTCGGGCTGAGGTCATTGGGCAACGAGGGTTGAAATACTAATTCAGCAGTATATCATACCCATGTGTATGTATATATATATATATATATATATATATATATATATATACATGTGCATATATATATATATTATAATAATAATAATAATAATAATAATAATAATAATAATAATAATAATAATAACAATATGGGATCAAGAGCACGTTCTTTCCAGGTTTGCACGGTTCTGGCTTGAACTGCTCCCGCGCGGGTTTTTCTTGTCTGGTTCGCCAAAACTCCTTAAAAAAAGGCATTCTTCGGCTATCCCTAAGGAAAGAAAGGCAACCAACAGCCCTGTAGAAAAGCCTCACCGATTGCCGGGTTTAGTTCTAAGCTGGGAAAGGCCTGCTGGTGTGCCTGGGCGAGCCCACAAGTGTACTCCCGACACCAGGCGACGTTTGGATTTGCCATCCCCTATAAGCCCGTCAACTTTACCCGTTCGACGCGACTCTTCACCTCGAACCAGCAACAAGCTCGAGAAACCGAAATCCTACCATGCCACGCCCAATCCCCTTCCCCCGGAAACCCTTCGGCAAAGCCGAAATGACAAAAATCGGATCATGCATAAGTAGATTCGTCGCAAGCATGCACGTCCTCATCTCCAGCCTCATCCGCAGCTATCATGCTCGAGCATGCTCATCATTGTCGTGGTTCACTAACTTCATCTTCATCAGCCGCAGCAGCAGCAGCACCACCACCACCACCACCACAATCACAGCAAGCACCATCAGCAGCACCAGAAGCATGGCCAAGGATCGTCATCACCGTCCTCACGGCTGTAGTCGTCATCAACAAAGTTCTGCACCACTCACAGGACAGGTCTTGCCAGAACCACTATCACGGAGCCTTGCCGTTCAACTGCGCTGCAGTCAGCCGAGCGAGTCTTACCTGCCCGGATGCAGGAGTGCCAAGGGCTTCGCTGCTTGGGGCACCCACAGTAAGGACGTACTCGCGGTTGTGATTGGAGTCACCTGTTGAATGCTGCCTGGATTTAGTAGTCTCGGCTGTTATACTTCATGAAATAGCACCCGAGACCCGAATTTCTTGTTGGCAGCCTCGTCACCGGCGTAGAGGGGCACGCGCCCAACTGCCGGGCAAATCTGGGAGCAGCGTGGGTGCGAAGGAGGATGGGGCAGAGACCAGCGTTCAGGCTTGCGGGCTTGCGGTGTCCATGAAGGGCTCAGGAAGGTTCTGCGGGCTCTGTCGGGATTGTGAGGACCTGCATCTCGGTTTCTCATGGCTCCCATTGAAAGGCCCGAAGTGTTGCCGCTTCATGCGAGCCACGTCCCGGCACATGGCGCATATCAACTTTCAGGTGCGCATCCTAGTCAAATTTCGGGGAGCTTGCTTCCAACAGACCTATCACAGCCGTGCGAAGAAGGCAAAGGCTCCGGCAGAGAGGTGTTGCTCGAGGGAATCGAAACCTGCAAGACTTGTCTTGGAATATGGAGTGAATGACATTGCCTAGCGCGTCTTCTATAAGGGTCATGAACAGGAAACCATGCTACACTAAACACCAAAGCCTGATCTCGTCTCACTCAACCCTCACCCCTAGGCTCAAGAGTTATCAAAAAGCAATCAAGCTTGACAAGCGAGCTGATGGCTGAGCTTCTGAGTTCTTCTGCACGATCTAACTAGGGTTAAAGGTACATACATAACTACATGCGTACAGTATATACATGCCCTGCACACATGGGCAGTACAGGAACCAGCCCGCCATACCTCGCCATCCACCGAGGCCCACACCCAGCCAGCACTGCCCTTGCAACTGCCCGACGAAGTCTTGTCATCATTTCCGAAACTCATGACATCCCACCACCCATACGGTCCGAAGATGCAAGCCCGCTGCTCCAGTGCCAGAACCCGAAACCTAGGCCGTATGCAGCCCACCTTCACCAGTGTTTGGGCACATCTGGCGGCTGTTTCCTGCAACACGAGCCCGCATTCCAAGGCCAACAAGGCTTAGGCTGCGAGGGTTGAGGAGTCCGTGTCAGGAGACCTACACTTCAAATCGAAGCAGCCAGGTTGTAAGGTCTCAAAGCCACACAATCATTGCCGACGGTTGCCGCTCATCCGCCAGAAATCTCATTCACCCACACGCCTTTTGCGAGCCACGCCGCCCCGGCGCCCGGACCGACCACCTTTGCACTGAAATGGGATGTTGAGTGTCGGCATTGGGCTGCGGTAGCCCCCCCCCCAGAGATCTTCCCCAGCATGAGTGAGACGGGCATTGATATCACAACGATTCTAAATCCAAATCCATGGCAGGGATGGATGTCTTGGCATTGACGATGGCGAAGATGAAGATCGGAAGAGATGCTTCAGGACTGAAGCAACTGGAGAGAGCGAAGCGAGACTCGAAAAGCAGAGAAAGGGAGTAAGTCGTGTGAAAGCGAGAAATGACAAGAGAGTTTCAGAATGTAGAGCAACTCAGCAATTCATTCGAAAGGGCTGTTGGAAAAGCAACAACGTTCAAAAAGAGTTGGTGAGTTTGAGAAATGGGAAACACAGCGTTCTCAAGGGTTTGTTTCGAGTCCAGCGCATTGGCGAGAGGCGATTAACGAGAGACTGTTGGGCCTGAAAAGTTTGGGGAAGGATGGCGAAAGCTTCAAAAAAACGATTTAGCACACCGTTCCAGAGGGCTTGAAAGAAGTTGAACAGGAGAACACAACGCTGAAAGCGAGCTAGGACATGTAGCGAAAAGGCCTCAGAACGTTAGGGGATAAACAGGGTCAGAAGGTGGCATGCCGGGTCGAAAGCAATTAGGGAAAAGGAGCAACACTTCCAAAGGAACTTGAAACTGTTCAACAGAAGGTCGCAAGGCCACTTCAAAGAGACCCGCGAATTCAAGAGACATGCCCGTGGCCTCGTCAAGAAGTTTGGCTGCGAAGGCGCGGGCCGTCTCCTGAGTGAAAGGACCGAAGGCACGGCTTCAACTGCAAGCCTGCCTGCCCTGAATTCCCAAACTCCGAAATCAAACTGCCCGGGGAGCACTCACTCCGAGGATGCTTTCAGGGCTCAGGGTGACGAAGCTGTTAGATGCTCCTGACAGTTTGGCGACTTAGGCTTCGGCCTAGCTGCTCTTTGTCTTGAAGCAGTAGCAGTGGAGCAGCAGTAGCAGTAGCAGTCGCAGTGGCAGTTGCAGTGGCGGCGGCAGGAGCAGTAGCAGGAGTAGTAGCAGTAGCAGCAGTAGTAGCAGTTGTAGCAGCAGTAGTAGCAGTTGTAGCGGCAGTAGGAGTAGCAGTAGTCGTAGTAGTAGCAGCTGAGCAGTCGTCGATGTCCTCATACAGGCAGCAGCAGTCACGTCAGTGAAAATGTTGACACTGTTGCTCCACGCTTTCCATTTTGCGGTGGCTGGTGCCGAGGGTGAGGTTGCTGCGACTTGTGGAATCATTACGACGTCACCACTTTTATTACAATGTGTTCGCTTGCATGCTCCCTGACTTACCAGAACTCCTCGTCCACACCATCCGTTCCAGCTCTGGCGCCCCGCACGGCACCCTGCAGGTAGTCGGCTGCGGAGTTCGCAACTAGGGAACGAGAGAAACCCCAGCCCAACACCGAGAGTTTTTAAAGCCTGTCTTCGGCTGCTCCGCAAGATCTGGGGGCTTGCTGCCGGGGCCTCTGCAGCAGATCGGGATTTACAGTCTTGTTGCGAAAGCCTGTAATTACTTGAATGGGCTTCAGGATTAAATGTCTTGGAGAAGGGTTCAGTCCCCAAGCCCAAGACCCTCCGAAATCCGAACCCGTAAACCCCAAAACAAGCCAACACAACCCTCGATTCTGGTAAGGCGGCATTATCCAAGTTCAGGCTCCCAGCCGCAAAGAACACAGGCACACCCCACACAAGAGCCCCAACAAAGCCCTGAAAGCCTTATAAGCCGCAATAAAGAAGCTCGGAACCCCTTTATACTCATCTCAACACCTCCTTTGGCTCTAGAAACTCTACCGTGAAATCTGGAACCCAAGAAATAATATCTATACCAAACCCTAAGAAAAGCAGTAATACATAGTATTATACATGTCTCTCTCTATATTAATATCTCTCTCTCTCTCCCTCTCTCTCTCTCTCTCTACTTGAATCTACTTTTAAGAATGTGTGTTTGGAATAGAGCCCCAGTAGCTCCCGACGGATCCTTTTGTTCGGAAACAATGCGTCTCAGCTCCGAAGGGCACAGACGTCCACACTGCTCAGACAGTGAAAGGGTCGTGGGGACCCACGAAAGCCCAGAGGAACCGACCCTTCCAATGTTTGTATCTGAGGATACTCGGGGTTTAAGGTTTAGGGTCGACTCCCGTTTTGAGGCTCTGGTCTGGGAGGGTTGCAGGTACTTTGGGCCCCGAGATCAGTCAAATCAACCTGAGGGCAAAGCCTCTCTCTGCTTGTACAGGTGCCAGCTAGCAACAGGCTCCCCACCACTGCCCGCGGACTGTTGCAGTAATTTTGAGGCTAAGTGGCACTGAGCTTGGCCTGGTGACTTAGTGCCACTGACTTACGAACAATCATATGAGCAAAGAGACCAACACCAAGAGCGGCCAAAAGTGGTAGTCTAGACGGAATAGGCGACTGTTGCTGCTGTGTAGGTTCAAGGACTCCATCACCACAAGAGACTGGCCTTGTAAGATTCTGTTATCTGCTGCTAAGTTCAACATTTACCAGCTCGGCAGGTCTTTCCTTGCAGTCGATTTTGGAGCCTGCCTTAACGAGCTTTGCATGAATCTACAACTCTCGGCACTCGCTTGGGCTGTGCCGGTGAAGCACGGGGTGAAGACGCCATTGAAGACCCAGATGCGCTCTTCCGAGATGAAGGATCGCTGCCCTCTTCGTCCCCGACCAGGCTCAACAACATCGGAATCTCCTATCACTCCGACAAACTGGGTCTTCAAGAAAAGTATCCGCGGCTCAAGGAGACACCTGGGTGAATCACAGCAACTCGTGTTGGATGATGTCGTACGGCATGACGGCAGGTCCAGCAAAAGCAACGATAACTAGCTCAGCACAGCCAAGCCAAGCCACTCAGATTTCAAGCAGCATCCTCCTTGGGTCCTGCGCGATAGGGAGTCTTGGGCCTCCTGATAAAGCCATCAGTGCCAAGGATTTCTGGCTTTGGGTGGAAGGGCCTCCTGCCAGACCACATCCTGAACCCACAGATACCCTTAGTCCTATGTCAGACTTCCTGGTTTCAAGTTCAGGCTGCCTGACTTCGGCGGCCCCAAAATCTGGAGGCGATTGCGCATTCGTCGGATTTTACGGAGGTGAGAGCTGACACACAAATATACAGTGTATATGTATATATATATAATTATAATACAGTATAATAGTTATTTTTATATTATATAAGGTGGCCGTCCGTTGATCGCACTTAAGCAATGCAGCGCGAAGCTGAAGATACGTGAGAAGACCATGCAGGATTTCCACCCCAAGAATCTCTGACATGGGGATCCAAATTACCAAAAGAGGGCTTGCAGGTTACAGTCGCTTTCCATGCAACCCTCGATAACCGGAATGCCGAACCGGCGGCATGGGCTGCGGGCAGCAGCAAACGTAGATAAGTCACCGTACCATTATATACTTTATGCTTCTTTGATACCAGACGGCAATCGTATCATGTCAAAAGTCTACACTGGCTACACAACAATGCACACAGGAATGAGGCAAAACCACCGACATTCTAGATGCCCTATTCTGTACTCCCCAAACCTTGACACTTTCTCCGCTCATGTCCTCCACCTGATCTCGGATCATGCACAAAAAGGTGACGGCCTGGACATCGGCTCCGACTTAAACTGGCCACTTACTAACCTGAGAAGCCGCTCCTCTAGCCTAAGATTGACATAGGGGCCTTAAGAGTTAGAATAGGGGCTTTGGGGCCCATTATACTATATTTATGGTAAGGAACCCCGAAATAGTCTAGGTAATTCTTGGGGCCCCTCTAGAAAGCCCTTGCAGGAACCCCTTTGTTTTGTTCAGGTACTCCTTGAGGCCCCGTTTGTAACTTCCTCTTGCAAGCGCCACCTCCCACCCCCCCCCCCCCGGGACAGAAGTGCGGAAGGCCCCAAAAGCGGATCCCACTGGCAAAGCGCTTGAAAAGTTGGGTCTGGGAGTCGAAAGCTTCCTTTAAGGGCTCCTTATTAAGGAGTATATATAGATATATATATATATATATATATATATTATAAGGATTACTATAAGAGCTATTATGTGTAAGGCTTCCTTTAAGGGCTCCTTTTAAAGGGGTCTATATTATAAGGATTACTGTAAGGGCTGCTATAAGGATACGGCTTCTTAGAGTTTAGCCTCGGGGCTTGGGTTCAGCTCGGGTATCGGTATAAGAAAGTATGTTATATACTATTATACACTATATAATATATACAAATATACACAATTATATACTATTATATACTGTTATATATTATTATATACTATTATATACTATTATATACTATTATATACTCTTATAATACTCTCATAATACGATTATATACTATTGTATACTATTGAGCTCTCAAGGGAATCCGCTTTGCATCGGCTTGCAGCGGCTCTGTCACGGCAGCTCAGAGCTCTCGTCACATCAGAAAACAACGTTAGTATGTAATGGTATATAATAGTGAATTATTGTATACAATTGTATATAGTTGTATATATAGTGTATGATAGCATATAACATAGAAGAGAGTATATTACAAGAACAACCACTACCACTACCACTACCACTACTACTACTACTACTACTACTACTACTACTACTAGTACTACTACTACTACTACTACTACTACTACTACTACTACTACTACTACTACTACTACTACTACTACTACTGCACTGCTCCTGCTACTACTACTACTACTACCACTACTACTACTACTACTACTACTACTACTACTACTACTACTACTACTACTACTACTACTACAGTCCAGTACGGATTATCCGAAGGCGATGCCCCGGCAGGCCTCGCGGCCATCAACGAGGCGATGGTCGTAGGTCAGGGCCAGATACATGATCGGACCTTGTCTTCTCTTGCAGAGGTCGTACAGTATGCAAGTACCCAGATGGTCAGTGCCGGTAACCAGCCTGTGATGGGAGAAGACACATAAAGAAAATGTGTATGCAGATATGAGCATGAGTAGATTCTCTTCATGTCTGCACGTCCAGACAGACAGACAGACAGACAGGCACCATGTAGATGAACCGGGTCATTGCATGTTCCTGGCCAGGAAGGCAACTGCCTGCACACGCTCGAGAATTCTGGCCCTGATCTGAGAGGACTGCGAACGCCGATCTCCCCATTGGGCAACACCACGGCCCGATCCTGTGGTTGGAAGGCGCAACAGGATGCAAGGGTGTGAGGTGTGGAGCTCTGGGTTTGAGGCTTGGTTGCTCTTCAGGGTGACCAGGAGCCCTCAAGACCAACCCCGTTGCCCGCACTCCTGCACCTTCAGGCGAACCCTGAAGCATTAACTCCCTGCTCCCTGAGCCTCAAAAGACCCGTTGTGTCCTTCGTGGCATGGAGGCCAAGGGCCGCCGCGCTGTTGATGGATCCGATAAGCCTTTGGCGCTCGTCCATTTCCGCAGGCTTTCAAAACTGAATGAAAGCACATCTCCCCACAAAGAAGCTCCTCTGCGGTTTGCTAGGGGAGGGCTTCAAAGTCAACGGCTGAGTTTTAAACTGAGCTCTGATCCCTGGCCCTAGCTGTCGAGGGTGTTGAAGCGGGTGTTGCAGCCCCTCCGAGTTGGCTTCGAAGGCCATGGCAGTCAAGTGGCGGAGTGCCAAGCATGCTGCCGAAGACGCCTGCGCCGGCCGTCCAACTCTTATCAATGGGCTCTCAAACAAGGATGCCAGCCGGTGCGCTTCACACAGGATATGTTCTGGCTTTCTTGGGGGTTCGAGGGCCCCTCCCCTGCTGAGGCTGCTAAGGTAAGGTGAACTTCGAGATGCTCCTGACCAGAAGGCGGCTTTTCCTTGAAGGCGGTGTGTCTCGGAAATCGGAAATGTCTGATCTGCCGGCAGGCACGCGACTGAATGCTAATCCGTCTGTTCGGTCCCTTCGGCATCCTGAACATTGAAGAGCGGGCGCCTGGGTTCAATACTGTCTCGGCACGGTGGCTGCAGTGATGCAACAACCGTCGAACCAATGGGTGTACTGATGTACTCTGCCGTGGACTTCTGCGCAGCCACACCATGTCAAGAACGTCTTTCTGACTGGAAGCTCCAACAGCATAATGACTTAGAGGCTTCGGGCTTAGGTTTTGTGAGTCTCCCAGCCAATATGTCGAGTCTTTGGCCTCACCTCTCGCAACGAAGTGTCTCTGCAACCTCAATCTTCGACACCAGAAGGCTTCTGAAGACTTAGACATCTGGGCCCCTGGAAGATGGCTAGCGGTATTTCGACATGGGAGCCGGGAGAAAGTAGGAAGGAACTTCTGTTGGAAAGACCCTCCTGGCGCAAACAACAAATACTGTCGCTCTCCATACGCACGGGAGCTCCTCCCTCCACA